ATATACTGTTTCTAGCTATCCTTCAGTTGTCTGGTTGCTTTTAGAATATAGGCCTAATTGAATGGATATGAGACTGTATGTATTTGTCCTATTCTACTTATGCACAGTCTATCTTACTAACATTCTTTGTATGCTTCTTCTAGAGTCTGTATCAAATCCTAGTGAGCAGGTATGAGCCTTTATTTTCTTCTGCCTTCAGCACCTATGTCTCACTTCTTTGTTTTTCTATGTGTGTAGAGATCTCTGGCCTCTTCTTAGATCATTGGTAAGTTTATTCTTCATACTATCTACTCAGGAATAGAATCTGATTCTATGTTCTTCCAACAGGACTTATGTAGGTTAGTAATTGGCAGGGATTCTTTTCATGTAATTTACTGTAGCACAGTGTTGTCATGTATCTGTACCCTACTGTAGTGAATATATAATCTTTCTTTGTCTCCTGATTAGTGTGATGATCCTATAGAAGAAACCCTAATCCAAAACAATATTAGTTGGGTGGAAAATGACTATAGAAGCTCTGAGAGCTCTGAGAGCTCTGAGAGCACTGAGAGCACTGAGAGCTATAGGAGATATTGCCACTATACATAGGAACCAGAGATCCATAAGTTGCTAACATTGATATGGTAGCTCTCAATGCTCTCCAACAATATCTGTTCTATAGTATCCCTATGAGAAATTTCCTGGTTTGCTGATGTTTGCCGCTGACGTTGATCTTCCCCTGCCCTAGCCTCTGTTATGGACGCTTTTTCTTCTTTGTTACTTCGTGTATCTTTTCCTTTTCTTTTCCTTTACCACATTCCTAGTAAGGCGACACACACCCGGACTTCGGCTCAATCCTTTCTTACTAAAATCCCTTTAAAAACCTTTCTACAAACATATCTCTTTCTCTTATGGACACGTATACTTACCTCGGACACATACAATAGTGGGCTGGACACGTAGGAGGACTGCGGACACGTTACTTCTGTCTGACACAGACTATCTTGGCGTGGCTTGACTCTAGCTCGGCGGTGCAGATGAACTCTTAGGCTGATGTGGCGGACCTAGATGACGTGGCGATTCACACGGACTTGTATTAGTATAAATATCGGACCTTTGTAGTCGAGATTCTCCAACCTGTTCACTTGTATTGTACCTACAGTGTTTCAGTTGAATTCACCAGAATTCTCGATATCGTCTTGTGCGACCTCAAGACAATACCCCTCGAATCTCAACTACTGAAGAGCTTTACCATTAGAACCTCGAATCCACATCAGCTCTAGCAGGACACCTGCCTCAGAAGAGGACACCTCATCTGAACGAACTCGATCCTAGACCGGACGCCGCGTCTAGACGAACCGAGCCAGAACCCCGGATCCGGAACCTCCGAAGCCCCTCGCTGATCGCCCAAGCCGACGGTGCCGAACGACTCGATCGTTCCCCGCTTCACGAAACCAACGCCGCCCTTAAGCCTAGCTTAAGCCCGGTCGTAACAGCCTCTGAGCCCAACCCTTATGCTTCAGTGTTTCCATAATGTATGCCTGTTCAATCACACTTGATTTTTGCTCAATTCACCAGTCTGAGCTTTGCACAAGACTGTCTGACGGTAAAGATCTTGATTATTTCAGTCTATTTTTGACTCATACATCAGCCTTGTGCCCTCAAAATACTTCTATAACAATTCAATAAGTGTCAGGACATGATACCTACATCACTCCCAGCCCAAGGTATTATTTTGGTCATTTTTCGGAATTTTCTAGGTGGGGTCCAAAAATTTTTTAAGAGGCCTGACGACCTAACTAACTAACTAGGTCCCGGTTATTTATTATATTTGTCAGCTCCCCTTGGTATTATTTATCCATTTATAACTATTTACTGATGTATATACTATTTACTATACATGTACATACCATATACTACTAGCAGTTTGCCCGTGCCCGAGGCACAGGGCTTATATACTTGTTTGCAAAGCTAATTCAGTTTTCATGCTCGAAAATACAGTTGTCGTCGTGAATCTCATCCGAGGCCATGCTGAGGCATCAAAAAGCTCATGCCATTACACGCTAGAGCATGCTGTGGTGCATGCGAAGATGGAGAGCTTTTGTTCTCTTTTACCCTGGTTGAGTACTCCTGTTGATGGAGATAAATTGATATCTGGGATGAGCAGCTTGTATTTTTGTGCACACCATGAAGGTCTGTGCGAGCTCGAGCAACTGCCTGATACCTGGCTTCCGATACCGTTGCTTGCCCGTGCCCGTGCCCCATGATACTTATGCATGGGCTTCCATGCTCTAATGGGGTAGACTTTATCTGTGGATATTATCTCACCATCTAATTCTCATCTGAATCCATCAACAATTGGCATTAACATTGCAATGCTCTTGACTTCAACTTCCGGGGCTTGCTCCCGTGGAAAGTTAGAAGCAAAGACTGTCACTCGAGACAAACTCGAGCGTGTGTTTATGTTTAATTGGCTATACTTCTGCTAGCTGAATTTAACTCTTGCTCGGAGAGGAATAAGAGGAAGAGAAAAGTTTTCAGCCTAGCTCGCTTGCAGTTTTCTGGCTGCTGTGATAGAGCCAAGCTGAGCCACACGGGTTGAAGGCCGCCACACGGATGCTCACCTGTAGTCCACGTGGCTTGTCTCGCGTGGTTTGTCTCGCTCGCGTGGTTTGTCTCCACGTGGTTTGTCTACCCACCGTCACATTAAGTATTAGATGTATGTACGGGATTTTCGTACATGTATAGTAAATGGTTGGAGCCTTAAGTCCAGCGCCATCTTTTCCCTGAACTTGTTCCAGATTGACAGCAGAGAGGGGACACAATCGTTGACAAGGAGGTCGGCAAAGAGGAGACGAATCTGGCGTGGCGTATACAGCGCTTGGACGGCCTCCGTTATTGCGTACTCCACCTCAACTTCGTTGTCGAAAAGACCGCAGGAGATGGCCGCTTCCTGGAAAGAGCCCGCCACAATACCCCGCACCTCTTTCAAATTCCTGTAGGATCGAGCCGGTCGATGCTGTAACAGGCGCCTGAGGTAGAACCGTTCGCCTTCAGACACCCTGGCGGAATGAAGACGGCAGACATGGGTGTTCGATTCCTGCCGAAGGATGACGTGCATAACGGCCTGGCCTTGGATTGGGGCACTTTCAACGAAGTAGTTTGCGCGACCAGCCCTGGATGGGTTATAACGTTCTGTGCGGAAAAGACTCCAGTATTCGGTGTAGAGTAAGTCTTCAAATGCACGAATAACGCCGCCAAAGGTGAAGAAACCCAGAGGCCGCACGAAGTAGTGGTCGAGAAGGGACGATGTGGCGGCAGGTAAACCACGTCGTGTGGCATATTGGCGGTGAGTGAGGTCGTCTGGGACATGTATAGGGAGAGCGGAGACGCCTGGTTTCTTCTGTGTGATGTGATATCCAAGCGTGCGCCATCCCGCCTCGCCAGCGGAAAACTCCATCCAGGCCTACTCCGTCGGCCATGTTGCTGGCTTCATCCTTCCTTTCAGGACCCGAGAACCCGTCTCTGGATTCATTTAATTCCTCGCTGTCCTGTTTGCACCAGATTGGCGCTGATTCGTGCATTCCATGGCAAGCACAGCTAAGTATTATTGCCAAATTATTGCCAGCGACAATCTCAAAATCTCCCAATAATGGAGATTGCTTAGGACGTGAGTATTCAGCGTGCTGCGTGAACAAAGACACAGCGAATATATCGCAAGGCAACTATGAAATCATCATCATTTCTTCCGTTCCTAGATAATCGTACAAATTCAAGACAGAGGCAGAAAACATCTGGCATAGTAGTACTAGATACGCGGAGACGGGTCGCGGTCTGTTTCAGATCATATGGTGTATGCAAAGCAGTTAGCAGCCAAACTAGACGAGTCGTTCGAGTGGTGGGGATATGGGTGGCGGAAACGTTCAGAGTGCAACTCTTACCTGCTCCTTGTCGTCATATTGACTAGAACGAGGTGCATCGTGCTCAGCAGCGGCACTTACGAACGTTGGTGGCACAGTTGCAAGGCTTGCACTTGCACCCGCGACCGGCTTTAGCGACAGACGTAGCGGCGCAGCACACGCCAGAGGAGTCAATCGTGTCGATGACCTTGGCCTTGGTAAAGCACGCCAACAACAACGACAATGTCAAACAGATATCGCACAATATCATCAGCGAATTCGTGAAAAAGTGGCCGGACGTTGGCCGGGTTACAATCCCGCGCCGGAAGGGAAGCCGATTGTAATCCATTATCATTTCAATATGACCAGGAAGGCACGATCGTAGCACGTTCCATCCCGAGATCAGGCCCATGTGGTGTTGGAACGACTTACAATCCAACACAACACGGACGAGTAATCACAATGCGTTACAATCCAAGGTCTCACTTCCTCGGGGTTCGAGCTGGTTTGGGCTAACAGTCAAACTGTACGTTATGTGCGTGAGTTTTTAGCCTACTCTTCTGATCGCACTGTGAACATGATTGAATATCCTGGGAGAAGCAACCTCTCACAAGTATCGCTGTCTACTCATTGACCCTCCTTCGTGTGTCGACTGTGATGCAGATGTAGAATTTGAAGAGCGTAAGGGCTGCGAAGAAGGTAACATAGCTCGAGTACTGCATGACCACACAAAGGCCCGTTAGTGTAGTAGTAATGTACCATGTAATTAGATAGTTTTGAGTGAAATACAACCTTTGCCCTTGAGTTCGAGCCCCAGTCTGCGCGTGCCGTCCATGAAGCGATAATCCTGAGCCATTTACAACCTGCCGGGTGGCTGATAAGATAAGGAAGGAGGCCAGGAGGTGACGCGGGACCGGGGGCGAGAGGCGGAAGAGCCTCCGCCTCCGGCCCTTTTGGCATTTAGCCGGGTGCCTATCGGGTTTATCGTAACGGATGGAAAAGTTGATGGCAAGGGTTTAATCCACTTCCACCTGTTACAATCTGACGGACAATGTTGCCGTGGATTGGCCGGGATTGTACGCGTTACAACGCATTGCGCGTCATTGTAACCGGTTAGAGCATTTTCCCGAATTCGCTGATGATGGGTCAATAAATACGCACAGCAGTCATATCTTGCAGCTACCGCTTGTGTGCCTCGTCAGTGCTATCCTGATACTACTGTATATGTTGTGATTGACCGTAAACGAAATTGATTCATGTCGAAAAGATCTGTTGACCACAGAATAATGTGGTGGCCACGGTCCGACCTGAGGTTTATATAACACTAGCCCTGCCATTATCGAGTGGTTTTGACAAGACTGTTCCCGTCATCATTCTCATGCTTGTCGGACGAGTCAGCCTCGACCACCAACATTTTCACCTGAAAGAGAATAACTTGAACCGGCCGTTCTCCTGGTTGTTCCTCAATGAACAATGACATCCAAACGGTGCAGGTCTGAGTCCACGGTCTCGGTGCGGTCTCCGAAACTCGACACTTCACCGCCACAATCTCTGTCCTTCTACGTTAGGCGTGGGAAGGTGGCACTTCTGATCTTTTCACGCTGCGACGACTTCGGGAGTTACAACTACGACACTTGTCCGATTCGACAGCTTACTGTTCACCTGAACGTTGTTCTACTTACATGTCCGAAGTCGTCTAGCGTTATCGTTGCTTTATATGGACTTCCAACGGTAGGTTACTTGTGATGGATTCAGGAAAACACTTGGCACCGCGGTTCTAAGCGAGCTTTACGACAATCCTTGTGTTTTGTTTGCGCACACACTTCTTACCCTCAGTCATCTGGCCATGGCTCCACCTCGCCAGTTATTATAAACCTGTATCTCCGAGCTGCATCAAGGCCCAACTGTTTCCCTAGCCGTTGACGTCGTGTCTCGTCTCAACTCAGGTGCGATCACGAGTTACCCACTTCTCCCCGCAGAAAGCCATGGCGGTTTCTTCATCCCTCAGCGGTCCGGGTCCACGCTCACGCTCAAGAATGGGCGATACTATGAGATCGTCTGTAGACTTGGCTTTGGACGATACTCGAATGTTTGGCTCGTTTGTGGTACGCAGGCGTTTGTCGTGGGTGCTCATCCTACCTATCCGGACATATTGCTTCTTTTGTTTCTTACGAGGACTTTAGACTTTGATCACACGAGCCAAACACATTTCGCGCTGCCAAGGTGCTCTCAGCGGGGGATACGAAACTGCGGCCAGCCGGCCTTCACCTAGAGTTCAACATATGGGAGAAGGTCGACGCAAGCGCTCGAGGGCTCTGTACACTTCCACTTCTCGATCATTTCCTGCAGGATTCAGAGGCCAGTTGCGGTGACACGGGTCCGCACTCGTGTCTTGTCCTGCCTGTGAATTCTATCGATATGTCGGAGTATAGGAGTGAGTTACCCTTCTCGTCATTCTCATCTCACAATATTCACATACTCTTGCGCACAGATGTCAGGCCTACCAACGTACTCCTCAGACGGCCCTTCGGAGATCACGCCATCGAGAAATATTTCTCTGAGAACCCACTCAAGATATATGGCGAGGTCGAACTGCCGCATGATGGCGCGGGGGAGCGTTATCCTGTGTGGGCTACTCAGGCCTTGCCACGTGATATACCGCGAGATACCACACCGATGCAGGCGGAACTTTTTGGGGCTTATTTGGTGGATTACGGACAGTGTATGCTGCTTTCTCCCGCTTCTCAGTACACAGGTCGAGGCTTTGAGTTGACAACTGCATAGATAGGTCGATTCGTTGGTTCTCCTCCAGCGGGAGATATCGTCACGCACTACACTCTGAGGGCTCCGGAACTTATGCTCGACGTGAGTTATGGCACGAAGGTAGATGTGTGGGCGGTCGGCTGCTTGGTGAGTTTGTCACGCGTCCTTTGTTGGTATCTATGTACGATCACGATTAACTGCGAGCTCTCACGATGTCAGGTCTTTGAGTTACTCACTGGAGAGTCATTGTTTGATCCGAAATCATTTAACGGCGGCGACGATACGGGTACTGGTAATAGGAAGCTCGATGACGCTCATCTTGCGCAGATGATGGATCTTTGGGGGGAACAATTGTCTGCGGCGTTTCTGGACAAATCTGCTATACGAAGTCAGTTCTTCAACGAGCACGGTACGTCCATCTCTCCTCGACCATCATTAGACAAATACAGATTATGCTCACAATGCTAAATATTGCACAGGCGATCTGCTACGCAAACCACGACGCCACATGCAAACTATCGAAGCATGTCTAGCAGCCTGCGCCCATCTGAGACCCAAACCGGGCGATGTCGAGCAGATCGCGAGTTTCGTTCGGGAATGTACGAGATTGGATCCGGTACAGAGTGCTACGGCGAGCGAACTCACGATTCATCCGTGGATGGTGGACGCGTATATGGTGGGATCTACGTATCCGGTTTTTTGACGAACAGGGATTCAGAGAATCTGGTGGGGAATAGGGGTTCTGAACTTAGTACTGGGACTGTGCGTGGCCGTGTATGTTACGATGTGAGTACCTGGTTCACCGTTCACTCTAGCTATGATAGAACTGTGCGTGGCCGTGCATGTTACCGTGCTGCCCCTGCCAGTTCGCCGTCCACTCTTTTTACAACTGTGCGTGGCCGTGTGTGTTACGATGAGGTTGTACGCAGTATCACGCTTACCATGTCTTTCACATTCGTACTGCCTCTGAGTGAGATGACCGCGCGGAGAACCAGAGAATCCAGTCGGATGTGCAGATGACCATGGATCAAAACAAGATGTAATGTAATACAGACCACTCACACGCAGTGCCGGAAACCAAGAACCAAACTAGAGCAGGCACAAAAAGGAACCCAAACTTCCACAAGTGAAGAGAAAAAACCGAACTTCATAGAAGATGCTAATGACCCCAGGGTAATATGCACATACTATACACGGAGCTCGGGCAAACGATAAAAAAAACAGTCGTTGCGCGAGCACAGTAGTACCATCGAACCAGCGATAGCACCAACCAGAAAAACAGGAACAGAAAAGAACTCTTCGACTCCGACTCCAGGGCAGCCTTCTCTCCTCGGTCTTCGCGGTCTCCCTCTCACCATACCAACGTCTGCACCCACCGCCACCGCCACCACCACAACGCCATCCACCGCCACACCGTCATGTCATCCTCCATCCGCGCTTCTCACTACCCGGTAAACCCAGGAGGTTATGGGAGTAACCTCTTTGCTGAAAACCTCCTGCCCGAATAAGGCGGTGGCTGCGCCCCAGGTGGCGTCGCCTCTGCCACACGGTTCACCTTCCTTCGCCCTGAATCTCGCGAAGCCTTGCTGGGATTCGCACTGCGCGTTTGACTCCTGCTCCTGGTGGGAGGGGCGGAGAGGATAGGCACGGGGACGGTGGAGAGGGAGCCGGAGCCTGAGGCTTGGACCGTGATCATTTGGGCTTCGAGGTCGGCGACGCGGGTTTCGAGCACGGCTGGGGGAAGGATTTGGAGAGGGGCTGGTTGATTGGTGGGGGTAGAAAATCTCAGTGCGCTAATTGGGCAGCGAGGGAAGAGCTGGGATGAGGACTTACGGTTGAATTTGCCGGGGTCTGGTGCAGGGAATGGTCGTGGTAGGGTATCGACGGGCGGTGTTAGGGGCACATCGTGAGGTATGAACGCATTCGGCTTTTCACGAGACTGTGCGCGAGCCAGTGCCTCTTGCGAAGGCACTTGATGCGCAAGAGGGAAAGGATCGTCAATACTGTGGTCAACGAGGCGATACATGGGAGCTCATGAAGCGTGTTTGGGAAGGATGAGAAAGGAAGAGCTCACAGCCAACGAAAGGTAACGGTTGCCGCAGCATGCTCTTCTTTCTCCTCTTGTACCACAGGAACAGCAGACCACCGATGATCATGAATAGACCGAGGACACTTCCAACGACTGCTCCGATGATTGTTTCTGGGGGGACCAGAAGTTGTGATGGACCTTGTTCGGATACTCCGCCGGACACAGAACAGGATGAATTGTCAGCGCATGAGGATGTGGGTGTAGGTGCGGTGGTAAGGCTTTCGGTGGTGGCTGAAAAGGCGTATGAGGATGATGATGCGGTGGAATGGTGACCGTTGTTGTCGTCACTGTACTCAAATCAGGATATGACGCAGGAAGGAGAATCGGAGAAGTATACCTCGATATACTAAACAGGAACATTAAAAATATTAGAACAAGATACCCGGAGCACTGGGCAGCATGCTACTCACGAGCTTACAGACGCAATGTCTTCACGCGTGACGACTGCATAGTCTATGCAGCTCATCCCTCCATCCTCCGGGGCGGTCGTCATCTCGAAGTTCAACGTATGTTGCCCGTTCGATAGACCGGCCACAGAATAGAGTGTGGCGTCATAGATGACAGAGTCCCCGTCGTACACATGCGCCTCGGTGGTGTTATGGTCATCATCGACGGTAAACCGCATAGTACCAGAGTTGGGTGCATCCACACCATAGACATAGATCGCGGTCCCTGATGTGCAGGAATGATCAGTGATGTTGACACTGACCCGAGCAAGGTTGATGGGACGCACCAGTGAAGGTGCACGATCCTGTCGAATTGGACGCAAGCGCGTTATGCGATGTCCCGTTGAACAACTGGGTCGCGTCGATCTTAGAGCTTGAGCACTCTTCGCACAGGTCATCATCCGCTCTTGAAACCGTCCAAGAGCCAGCCCAAGAAAAGGATGCTTGAGTGTCGTCGAAGGTGACGTTGGTTGGAACCGACATAATGGTAACAGGCAATGAACCGATTTGCGAACAGAAAAGGAAAGGCTCTGAAACGGGTCAAAAAAGAATGGACTGAGTCGGACGCCTCAAAACAGTGCCAGCCAGGGAAATCAGAAGAAGGAGACACTGAAAGAAAGCAAGAAAAAAAGGATGGGAAAGGGTGGAAAGAAGGGAAATTTGGTTGCCAGCACCAGCGAGAAGAGTGGGCTCGGTGAAAGGAGGCTTTGTGGCCATGCTCGTCTCTTCGCTTATGAAGGTCCCTGACAATAACATCACCCGGCCGTCGCTTTGCGGTCGCTTCCCCCATTTCCCCACATCAAATTTGTCGCACAAGGCGCAGTCTAGAACAGAGCGACCAGTGAAAAAAAGCCTCTAAAAATCAACAAATATTGAGATAATGGTAGATCGATATCATACTGAGCCTCAGTGCAGGCTGTAATATTTTGAACAATTGTGAAGTTCTCTTGAAGTTGATTTCAAAGCATAAGAGCGTCGTCGTTGAAGCCGGCGGTGAAGTCTTGGCTGCATTATGTGGCGCCTTGGCAAAACATGACGTACCCTTTTGGGACGATGCCACGTGAGAATAACGTGGATGGTGTCCGCCGCAGCCGTGACAGGTCCCTGAAGCTCACCATCGACAAGTCCGAGCCTTGTCTTGGTCCTCTAGCCTCCTCCACTCTTGTCACGGCCTAACTTCAACTATAGGAAATACTGTTCTTACTCTCATCGCTCACATTTCACTAGTGCGTTGGCAGTTTTGACATGTTTGTGTGCTTCAGTTCTTTGAGCCTGCCATGGACGAGTCTCGCTCGAGTCTCGCTACCGTGAGGGTTTGTCGTGAAACACTGGCCCTTAGTACGATCTTGTTGGCACCGGGTTTATTACTTAGGTATATTCCTCTCCGTCTCACCCGAAACATAAGACCGACACAAGTATGAGCGGGTGCCGTATTTCAAAGGCTACTTGCGGTCCAGGAACTCCTCCATACTAAGTACTAGAGTAAGTGGACCCTATTTAAACCTTGTGGACGACAAATGTCCCTTCACCTCTCACCAATCTGGTGCCATTATCACCTTTCTTCATATTTACGACCATGGCCGCAGCTGAGCTCACACCCCTTGTAGACCTCATCACCGACGCCGTCAAGGATGTAATCAAGGAGTACGACACGGTCGGACAACCTTTCCCTGCTCTCGGCTCAACGAATTCAGGCCATTTCGACTCTGCAGCCTCTGTAACGCCTGAGCTCGCAAGGGCCATCAAGGTCGTCGAGGCCGCATGTGCGCAGCTCAGCTTCAGCGTCGCCAGTCCTGCCCATGTCATGACAAATGTGAGCGCCTACCTATCATGCAGGAACCCCTATACACTAATGCCTTGACGTTAGAAAGCGTTCGGCGTAAGTGATATATTGCATTCCCCACTAGCCTGTGCCGTCTCACCGGTCCTCCTGCTCCATAGTTCGAGGAACCCGTATGCTTGCAGATCGTCACAGAATCTGGAGTCGCGGACTTGCTCGTGGACCTGCCAGAAGGTCTACACATCGAGGAGCTTGCGAAAAAGTCAGGAATCGAGGTCGATAAGCTGGGGAGAGTTCTGAGGCTCCTCGCGACTAAGCACTGCTTCATCGAAGGTCCGCAATGCTCGCATTCGTGCTTTCTTGTTAGCGCCGTTTCAGCCACTAATTAGGTGGGACATATCTAGTCAAACCCAACGTATTTGCGAATAATCGTATCAGCATGACCCTTGTCTCCGGCAATCATGTGTCCAGTCTGGTCGGTCACTTGTGAGGCGCGCTGGTCCTTACGGGTATGTTCATTGGTGGCTGACAAGTCTCTTTGAAGGAGCGGAGAGGCTTTGAAGTCTGCGGCACAACTCGCCGATATTGTGACAGATCCGGTGGCGGGGCATTGTAACTCGGCTAACGCTACGGCTTGTGATCGTGCAATGGGCTTCCCGCTAATGTCTTACTATCAACAGGTACATATTTCAATCCCATCGTCTTGTCCCGTTTCCTCTTAATGAGCTAAACATATTTGACCATCAGGCCCCGAAGGAGATAGTAGACGTGAGTGTTTCCAGAATCTAGGAGTCCGGGTCAAGCAGTTTATCCCTTGCTGCAGAGGGTTCAGAGTTCCATGATCGCCTTTGCGGAGGTCTGTGGAAAACATACGATTCCCAACGGTCTGTGTACTCATTTCTGTATATTTGACTCAATATTAACATTATCCACCTCTCATAGCTTACCCATGGAACGACCTACCTGATGGTGCCATACTCTGTGATATCGGCGGAGGCACCGGGCACATCTCACTTGATGTTCTGAAGGCGTTTGCTCACCTACGCGTCCTTGTACAAGATCTTGAGGTTATGAAAGAGCCGGGCGCCGAAGTACGCTTTCACTTGTGTCATATTATGGGGCGACTACTTTCTGACTCATAGTGTTCATCTTTATTAGCTATGGACGAAAATGTACCCCGAGGCTATAGCGAATGGGAAAGTATCCTTCGTCACACTCGATCTGTTTGCTGAACCGCCTGTGGAAGGGTGTCATGTGTATTTCGTATGTATCTCCTAATCATCCTTTCGTCATATCACTTCTATATCTGACACATGAGAAGATGAATTATGTCTTGTACGCATCTGACTTCTCTTTATCCGGACTGAACAGAGACTGACAGTATTATTACAGGCACGATTGGCCCGCAGCGGAATCGATGAAGATGTTAGCTAATGTCCGGAAAGCCATGAAGCCGCACAGCAAGCTTCTTATTCGTACGCATTGTGTTACTATCCAGACCTGTCATACATAACCACTTCGCTAACTAGGACCGTATCCTCCGTGTAGGTGAACTTATCATTGAACACGTTTCTCGTCCTCAAGAAGAAGAGGCCGTCGCGGACGACCGCGTGAGTTTCTCGTGCCCGAATATTCTACGCCGCTGCGACCGGGGAGCTTAAATTTTACTGTTTTCTGCTCCTCTAGGCTCCGGAGCCGCTCCTACCGAACTACGGGATGGGTAACGTCTTCCAGTACAACATGGACTTGAATATGATGGCCCTCCTCAACGCAAAGGAACGCACCTTGGCAGAATTTGTCGATCTCGGGTGAGTCTTCCTTCGTCGCACCGCGGATCTGACTTGCTCTCTGACGGGCGTGGGGCTGCAAAACGTAGGAAGAAAACTGGATTCAGGTTCGTGAAGTTGTATGTCACGGGGAAGCTTGGGCTATTAGAGTTTGTGGCTGCGTGAGGGCTTTTCAATGTCATTTGATTCTGTATTTCCAACGTATCTTGGTGAAGTAGGTACTATGGTAGCTGCTCCATTGGAGCATGTGTGGGCAACGGACGCCGACTTTAGCCAACCGTTCTTCGAGCATGTATTTACATTTACTTAGGACGGTATCGCCACAGGCCAAGTGTTCCAGAGTGTGCCATTATTGCCCATCCTTCCTCAAAGGCATGCCTGAGACAGTAAAGTAAGTAACATTCCCCCCTCTAGTAGCAGACTGCATAGTCAAGGAACGGCAGCGCACTCGAGTGAATACTCAAAATATTTAAATAGCTTTGCGCCACATGAGTCAGAGCTCCGCTTCAATTTGTTGAAACCGCCGTGATGTTCCGAACTCACGCATCTTCACTCATTTTTACACCCACCAATCTTCCCTCATGTCTGCCGTGATTACAATCTGTAATGCAGGCTAGAACTAAGTATCACGTATCGAAAGATGGTACGAGCGCAGGGTCAATCCCTAAAACGCACGACTCGGCCTCGTCTTTCTCGCAAGCATTCTTCGTCCGAATCATCTCATTTCTTTTGTGCCGAAAGGCTTCGTCATGGTCAGGTGCTATTCGTACCATCACTATGGTGTACACCACATCTCAGGTGAGCGTGTAGTGCAGTTCCTTGACGTCTGCTCTGTGACTCACTCCATTCAGTGCTCACAGACGGCCTGCGATCGTCGTGCGGCATTTCGGCCGCCGCATCGCTTATCTGATTAGATTCACGGCGTCCGCTCTACGTGTCTGGTCGGCGTTGTGGAGAAAGTGTCCACGGCCTCTATAGAAAGCCCCTGTCGACCGCCAGTTATAAGCATGCTTTGCTCACAGCAATGGATCCTTTGTGCCCTTATTTCTTCAGCTGTTTTCCTGCGTAATGTCTGCGACTCAGCTCCTCCCTCTCGTCGACTTGATCACCAACGCCGTTAAGGTGGTTATCGCTGAATATGACAGAGTAGGACAACCTATTCCTGCTCTTGACGAAGCCGTAGCTGGACCGTTTGATGAGGCAAAAGGCATCACCCCTGACCTCTCCACTGCGGTGAAGGTTATTGAAGCTGCGTGCGCCCAGTTGGCCTTGACTGTGGTGCCTCCTTCGTATACGATTTTGATGGTGAGTACCCCGATCACTCCCTCCTATCCGAGTAGGTGCTGATTTTTATCTTCAAAAAGAAAGCAACCTCAGTGAGCGAACCTAACTGTGCGATCCTTCCATATTACGCTCTAATGGCCATTCAGTTCCAGGAACCCGCGTGCTTAGAGTTTGTCATCTACGCTCGAGTGGCCAACCTCCTGCAGAATAAGCCTGAAGGGGTCCACGTCGACGACCTAGCAAAGCAGTCTGGCCTGGATGCAGATAAAATTGGGCGGGTCCTCCGAATGTTGGCGACGAGGCACTTTTTCAAAGAAGGTCAGTGCCATGATACAGTCCACCTCAGAATGATTGCCAGTTCCTAAGCAAGGACGTATAATGTTCAGTGGGGCCCAACGTATTTGCCAACAACCGTCTCAGTAGGGAGCTCATATCCGAAGATGAAGATCCCAGCATGCACGCCCACATGTAAGTAGATTATGTCTTTTTCTGTCGTTGTCTACATTAATGTCATCCAATCGTCACCCCATAGGACGTCTCAGATGAGGCCTGCTTCCTTCTTCAAGGATACTCTTACCGATTCTAAGACGGCCCATTCCAAAAGCCCGAGTGACAACTCCTTCACGCGTGCATACGGCATGCCTGCATTCGAGTATTACCAACATGTCAGAGGACTTCTTCTATCTCATCCAAGTTGTGAAGCTGATACCCCCAACCGACTGGTTCAATAATGCAGGCGCCCGCTCAAGAATCGAGGGTGAAAATATATTGATCATCATGATATTGTTTGGATATTGATATGTTTGATCAGATTTTCCAAAAGGCGATGGCGGGTTATAGCAATTTGAAAGGGACCCATTTACTACCTAAACGTTTGTCTCTTCGTCGCACTCTCGGAAGTGTCCGATTCTATACTGAGATACAGTACACAGTGTACAATTGGAGCTCCTTGCCGGCTGGCAGTACCCTCTGTGATGTCGGCGGTGGCATGGGCCACATCGCCATGGATATCTACCGAGAATTCCCACAACTTCGCCCTGTCGTCCAAGACCTGCCGAACGTTATCGAGCAAGGCCGTGAGGTACGATGGATACGCCTTCATTTTGTCTTCTGCATCATCAAATATCGAAGGTAAACCTCAATTTTGCAGTTCTGGAAGAAGGAATGTCCGAGCGCGATCACCAAAGGCGACGTGTCTTTCGTTCCACTCGACTTCTTCAAGGAGACCCCTGTCCAGTTCTGTGATATCTACTTCGTATGTTTGATGTATCCTTTCCTTGCTCCCATGCGCAGGCTGACATAGGTGGTCGTATCTTTCAAGCTAAGCTACTGTTTGTGCGTTTTTATCATTACGCACCTTCGTAAGAGTACCTCTGACGCTAAATGACTATTCAGGCATGATTGGCCGGACGCCCAGTGCGAGCAGATCTTGACCAACGTTCGCGGCGCAATGAAGCCCGCCAGTAGACTTCTCATTAGTATGTATACTATGTCCTTCGAGTCTCCTGGCTGACCCCGACCACGGTTACGCCCAAACCATAGACGAACTCATCGTGAAGAATACCCTTCGGAGCTCGGGCACGACCGGAGGAGCCGTTGAACAAGTTAGTACCATATAGCTCAATCTGAAAGATATCCTCTGAATGATGAGTTCTAGGCTCCTGAACCGCTTTTACCAAACTATGGAATGGGTGGTCTGCGCGCGTACGCCCAAGACTTCTTCATGATGTCCTCCTTCAACTCGAAAGAGCGTACGTTTGACGAGTATCTTGCTTTGACGTGAGTTCTCTTTCGTTCACAGTTGCTCAGTTAGACTCGGTATTCATGCTGACAGACACGCCTGGGCGTTACTCTATAGGGAGAAGACTGGGTATAAGTTCGTTAAGCTGTGGGAAATTGGTGATGTGAGCCTCTTGGAGTTCGCTCCCGCTTGATTGGTCCATCTTGTGTCCATTTATCCATCCAGCGCTCCCCTTCAACAGGACGAAATGCTTTATATCTGGAATTTGCTACATATTTATTAGGAGCTCAACCTTCTATCAATGAACTTACTTTCTATCGTTTGAGATGTCGGAAGTCACTTGAACTGCATTCGGCTCATCTTACTTTGGTTCGACTAAATGGGCAACATGGATATTATCTCGCACAAACATATGCCATACAGTGTGACAGTCCCAACAGAGAGTTCATAGAAGGCTCAGATATACATCAGCGTGTACAGCGATCTCTTTACGACCTTTGTTGCTATCGTTTACAGCGCTATTTCTCGAACTTGATATCGTTCTCTCCGACGAGGAACATCACCTCATCCCTTTTCATGAACTTCAACTCGTCAGGAACTACATTCTGTTCAGAAGACATTTCAGTGAGTCAAGCTTAGAAATCGTTGGAGCAAGGTGTTCAAAAAAGAAATTCACCTGCTGGTACTCCTCTCCTCCGAACACAGCCAAAAGGTCCTTGAGATCGTTGACGTAGAATTCGGCGGCACCGTCGTACGGCCCAATAGGTAGCCCAAGAGCGGCAACTGTTTCAGATTCCTTCGAGAGGATATGAAACTGCATTGATAGGGGTTGTTCGCGTCGATGATAGTGAGACACAGTTTTATGATGGTGCGGGATGGAGGATGGACGTACCTGACTGTACCGCACGAGATTGGTCTGAACGGACTTCACTGAGCTGAAGAGCTTGCCGTGGTTGTTACTCCTGTGACAAGTACGGTCGAGTTGGCAAACGACAAGGAATGCCTGAAAAAGAGAAGGCTCACCAGTATTCGCTAAACTCCTCCTTAGACATCCCCTCCTTCCGCTTCATCAAACACATAACTCTGATGGACATTGTGATATGTATAATAGAGTTAGATGTTGCGAGACACTAGTACTCAGGCCGCGCTGATTTTTATAGGCTAGCGATCTGTTAGTGTCCCGCACCCCACGATAGATGTGCCGCCGACACCCTTATCTTAAGTGAAAATGCTCGCCCGGAGATCGACATTGTACAAAGATGGGACCATAGCGGACAATAGATGGATCGGGATGGCACAGGTGCACTTCGACTGAAGTGCGGATGTCTGGACCACACTTGACACTATATTGATTCCGGACAGAGGCGCCTCGGAGGCGTCGATATCAGGTTAGTACGGCCCAGACACATACACCGGCCCTATGAGCGTCTCGCACGGAAATGCATTTGTTGAAGCAGATACGATCATATAGAAGAGTAGAAAGGGTGCGCCACACAGCAGTGAAGAGACCAATCAACCAAACAAACCAGATAATTGACGCCCCGACGTCTTCCAGGCCTCATAGTAGATCGACAGCCCATCTCCGAAACCCAGCTTCTTGGGTTGCCACCCGAGCAGCGTCTTCGCAAGATAGGGTCTCATAAGGACTGTGCTCGCAAGGGCTCTTTCCCAATCTAAAGAACAAAAAACAAACGGAGTAGTGAGATACACCGCTTTCTGAGACGCCGATTCCACATACCGTTGGATGGGTCTGCATAACTGACTGAACCCTTCACTCCCGCTAAGACGAATATCCTCTCAAAGACATCGTCCAATCCCTCCGTCTGATCGTTCGCCGCATCGAAGACCATTCCTCCTACCAGCATCGATTTCTCCACAACCCTGACATAAAGGTCCGCCAAATCATCCGGATGAATTAACGAAACACGTCCACCAGGCTTTCCATACCATTCTACCTTTCCCGTCTCCGCCTTCTCGAACAAGGTCGCCGACAATGAACCCGAGTACCCGTACAACATACCGGGTCGAACCACGATACCATTCAAGATCTCGTTCTTGATGATCTTTTGGTCGAACTCTTGACGCCAGGCTACGAGAGAGGGAGCAACTGATAGAGGGGAGGTGTCGGAGACGAGGTTGACGCGATCGTCGCCGTGAACCCAACAGCCGCTAGTGTAGACGTAGGAGAGTTTCGGGATGGAGTTCGGTCGGAGGTCGCGAGCGGCAGCGGTGATAGCTTCGTAGACTGACGGCCCTACGTCGAGGATTTGGGGGCCACCGATACATTCGACGACAACATCAATGGAGCGGATGATGGATATCCACGCGTCCGGCTTCGAGGCTTCTCCCAAGACGGGGATGACTGGAAAGGTTCGGGTTAGAATGAGAAATGAAGCGCGATGAACAAGGAGGCATACTTTCTGCAGCTTTCAGGGCCTGCGCCTGGGACTCCTTGCGAATCAACCCATAGACTGTGTGGCCTGCTCTACTGAGCGCTTGGGCCGTGGGCCACCCAATAAATCCTGTAACTCTATTGGGGGAAAACGACGCGCATTCAGTGGGGGACTCGTACAAGGTCACTCGATGAAACATACCCGAGTACAAGAACTTTCATCGTCAGATGAGGGATGAAATAAAAGTAAAAATGAGAAGGATTGGCAGTTTTTATACGATGTTTCTCACAACGGTTGTAAGCATGATGCACTTCTAGTCGCGCAACACACAGCTGTCGAAGGCCCATCTGGCTCAGGACACACCTCAGTAAGCATGGTTGAACGATGTCCGACTCGGATAAGCAGTCTTTGAGCTGACGAATCCGAAGCTGATTCAGGAATTGCCCGTCCAGAAGAGATCCATAACTGGATAGTCTCAATGGCGAGCGTAAACTTCAATGGTAGGATGAGCTGCCTAAGCAGGGAATCTCTCTTATCGGTCCCGCCTCAAGAAGGGCACGACGATTCAGATGACTGAGCCTTGCGTGACAGAGCGAGTTCTGTGGAGGCTCCCAGGTTGACTAACGTCGAGATAGCTTCTCGGGAAGGAAACTTCCATAAAGGAATAAGATCTTATGATATCTGGTAAGAAGGTCGTACAACACTCACCCACTGTATTTGGCTCGGGTCGAGTCGTAGATTCACAACTTTTTACGAACTTGTTGCACACCCACTCTCCGCCACTTCCTGCCAAAAGCGAAGTTTGATAGGCAAAGAAACATACGAAGCCCCGAGACTGAGGTTGGTAAGGAGAAGAGTATCGTTGGAGAGCAGTCCTTCGTACTATCGTGCTCAAGTTCTCGATCAGGTCGTGGTTTGTAACAAAGGCAGAACGGCGGCAGCGCTTGGGCAGCACGGAACTGGGGGCCGACAGTATTCCTACACTTTCCGAGTGGCACCACTACGGGTTGTTTGCGTCTGTGGCCCACCTGCCCTTTCGCTGCAATATTTACACTGTTCAGTTATCATCCCGCAGAAAGATTGCAGACGTGCAGATAATTATCGGTGGTACTGCATCAAATTCGATTGGTACCGTGGTATATGCAATAGAACAGCACGAGACAGTGTCGCGGTAAGCAAGTAACATAGTAGGGTGTGTAAGAATAAGTATCTCTGGATGTCCTATATGAATCAGATCGTTGTCAGTATCCTCAAACGTGGCCTTGTACACATCATAATTAAGGAATCCTCCACATCGCAATCCCAGCTCTCTCCTTATCTACTTCCTTTCTCACTTCCTTACTCTTCCCACTTCTCACAGCACCCGCGAGCAGTAACCTCAGTGCATCCTTCAACGATTCCTTCTTCGCCTCTGAGGAGCTTCCATTAACCGAATTGTCGCCATCTGGGTCGGGAGTAGCCCCGACCTCGCCATCCGAGTTCTTCGGTAACACGACCCTGTCCCACTCCACACAAACATCCAAAAACTCGAACAAAACGCTTACGGTCCCTTCGAAACTCCCAATATTTTCTTCCTTTCTTTCCGCTCCTGCAGATGCGCCCTTGACGGGACTCTCATCATCCGGGATTTCCACGTCCCAGATCTCCTCTAATGTCATCCCATCCCACGCAACCAAAGGTGCCCCGAGCCTCACTGGTACAACCACCGTTGGACACCCGTTGAGCAGCTGGTAGTACATCACCGACTCGTTAGGTCTCTGTGACGACGTCCACAGCCCTGCTCGATGGGGTTTAAGAGCGATGACGGTAATGAGGAGTCGCCGAGGTGGCGAAGGTGGCAGAGGCGTGAGGGTCGGAGGAGGCGAGGGCGTACGCGACGTAGCTGCGACGTCGGGGGAGGTCGATGGGTTGGGTGAGGGAGACCTGGACAGGGAATGGAGGTGAGGAAGTTGGGAGGAGAAAGAGGAAACTTTGTGCGTGTAAGTCGAGAGCTTGAGACGAGAGTGGTGCTCGTGTTTGTCCTTGGACGTGGAATCGTCGTCTTTGTGTTCTGCACCAGGCTCTTTGGGTGGCGCTGTGGCGAAAGATATGACAAGGGCGGACTCCCGCAATATAGCTTGGCCGACCTCGTAGTCACCTGAAAATTCAATCACAGTTAAGACTTGCAGCCCACGAATCGACTCGAGAGGCTTACCAGACAAAAATGGTCCATGACAGAAGATGATGTCGGGCTTCATGGATCGGGGTATAATAGGGCGCCTGCCGCTAGCGAAAAGATACGGCGAAAACCAACCCTTCTCGATCGCCAAATAGTCCTTCACAGTAGCAAACAGGGACGAATCTCTGTAAATTTCCTCAATCAGCAACGTTCCTCCGGTCGAGACGTACAAAAATCGAGCCAAGCAACTCAACTCATGCAAGCTACTCCTGTAAAATCCAATCGCCGCATCTCCCACGAGATGTTTGTATGGCAATGTGATCAACATGCTTTTGATCGCAGTAGTCTCTAGCCTCTTTGAATGCACTGGTATCATATGCTTAATAGGGTGCCCAATGACGAGATCGTCCGCGAGTTTGGTTGTAAGCTCAAAACCAGTGTGCATGCCGATTTCTATGATGATGGAGTCGCCGATAGCGGTCACGATGGCGTCCGAGATGGGGTACATGACGGGTGCTGCAACTGCTGCGACTCCACCCTGACAATTCGATGGAGGTGAGTGCCTTTACCTGCGCGATGTTATGTGGAGACTTACTGTTCCTGCGATGACCATGTGGACCGCTAGATCTCGAAACCTGATGCAGGGCAACAATAAGGGCGAGGAATCGCCCCACTAAAATTGAAAGATTGGTAGTGAAGAAAACAATATAAGCCTCCGATGATTTATGGAAGAAATTGGAAAACTCGCCGGAGAAAGACACAAGACAGTCGTCCCTGCTGCTTTCATCGTTTCATAGGACGACATCACAATCCTTCCGGTCATGGACTATGTACATTAATAGCAAAGCAGAAGATTCGTCATCAGTGGTTGGTTCAGAACCGGAACTGAAGCCATAATGAAGGATACGACTGTAGTACTTACACCCGCCAGCTTCCTGACGATCCATGGAGCAGCTGAAGATGATTGCTCATTGTGAGACTTTAGCTTCGATCTGGGTAGCATTGTTTGGAACAGCGATTGAGGAAAGCGACTTACCTTTCTCGTGCTCCGCATCCTCGATCGATGCAGGATCAATCGGTCCAAGAGGGCAGATAGTGGTATCCGTGGGAGGAGCACTCATTTTATCTCGTCGAATTTTCGGACTTGGCAAGGAGAGATCTGAGAAAGCGGAAAGAAACTAGAGATTTGCTTGTGGTGATAGGTTGTGGATAAGAACGGTTCAAAATGCAGCAGAGACGAGCATTGCTCACAGCGCAATCACAGCGTCCAGGAACAGATGGAATGTGTGACGGTCGCCACCGCCACGGGCCGCCAAAAGAATTCGAACTCAATCGGCGGTTTGCGTGGTTTGACCGTCTACTAAACATCTAAAGTTCAACGTTCATCGACGTCCATCGAGTCCTGCCTTGTCTCTTCGTAGTGGAATAAGCCTACAAACGGCAAGCATGAGCTCACTGCTCCTCTCTGAATATTCTCTTACGTGTTCTCACCTATTTTTCGCTCGACAGTGTGCCTTCCTTCCCCGCCACGACTACTCCTATCTGCCTAACCTAGACATCAGAAGCCATCCACTCATACTCGTCGAGTAGTGATCTGCAACGATCGAGGCGCGCTGTCTCTTTCCTTGTGGAGGACCGAAGTCATTTCTGCGTTTCTTGGAGCTATACCTTTGGTTCAATTCACCCCTTGAGCCTACACCACCAGCTCAAACGGCTTTCCTCTTCATAGCTGGCACGCGTCTCAACGCAGTCTTCTTGAGGTGGAAGTTCTCTTTGTGCTCGATTCATCTGGTGTCTGTAGGTTCTCACTGGCTCTTTCCCAGCCATCTAGGTGCTTATGAAACAGTTTGCCTCTCTCATCTCGCAGTGTTCATCACGTCACGAGTCTACTCATCGCTGAGGTCTGTCACGTCATATCACCCCTCTAATTCATGTGCTGAAATGAGGGTCACTCGTCAATACTATCTGTGGGTCAGAGGTATTACCAAGACCGTATGTATCCACGTCCCTCGCGCCAACGTTCCCGCGGTATTATACGGTACCCTTCCTGATATGTATACAGATCATCCACGACCCAAGACCCATATTCCCTTTGTCTACGCGAACCATCCTTCGTCGTAGTCTCTCAACCATGTCGTCAAAAAACGTTGTTGTCGTTGGTGGCCACGGAAAGGTGCGATTCCTCGGTTTACTTGCATGTATCAATTTTTCCCCTGCCGACGCAGACTTGGCGCACACATTTACCTCAACAGGTCGCCCTCAAGTTGCAGTCCCTTATTCACCAACAACACAACATGACCTCCATCATCCGTTCCTCCTCTCAAATAACCGACCTTCAAGCTATATCCCCCTCGATCAAAACCCTCGTTCTCTCACTCGAAGACTCCCCTGTGTCTGATTTCACCCAAGCCTTCCAAGACGCTGACGCCGATGTTGTAGTGTTTTCGGCTGGTGCAGGAGGTCAGGGCGGAGATGAAAGGACGAAGAAAGTGGACTATGAGGGGGCTGTCAAAGTGTTCGATGCCATCGATGGTTTGCCTGAGGAGAGAAGGCAAAAGACGAGGTTGGTGATTGTGAGTGGCATAGATCTGAATCCAGATGCCGTGCCAGAACATTATGTGAGTACATACTTTCGCCAATGGCCCAGATCTTCCCATTCTATTTCACAACTATTCTCGGTGTGTGTATGTCTCCTCTAGAATCTCATACTGGCATGAGATCTATTTAGCATCACATCTTTTGCGGCGCTCGCCGCATATCTCTCAGACTCTCCCGAGTTCACTGATAATATACAGCAACTTACTGATACACTTTTACTTTCACTCATCACCACAGGACGAAAAAGACAAGGAAATCTCCACCAGCACTCGCGCGGCCATTGGAACCTATATGCAGTACAAATACCTCGCCGATAAGAACCTTACCGCCCGCTCCTCCTTCCCCTGGTTCATACTTCGACCGTCGTGGCTGAGCAATGAGCCTGGCACGGGAAAAGCGAGCATCGGAAGGACGCATTTGTACCCGCTGCTTTCGGTACGTATTAATTCGTTTCCTTACATTGCTTCCACTGTTGTCAATGCTTTAGACCCGAGTATCCATTACGAACCTGACGTGTCTTGTTATTCACAGAGAGACGATCTTGCGGAAGTGTTAAAGGCGGTGATCGAAAATCCAGACGCGAAGGGTTTGGCCATGGATATCGTGGGAGGCGAAGAGCCGATTGCGGAGGGAGTGGAGAGGTTTGTCAAGAAGGGTGTGAGCGACTGGTTAGATTGAGTGTAGAACAATGGGATCACTTGTTTGGTGAAGATATATCTGAAGCACTCCGTCACTGTAACTGCTTCTCAGTTTGCATCAGTCGTTCCGTTGAATATTTGTAAAAAGGTCAAGCTGGGAATGCCAACTTGTATATTCTTTGAGTACACTCGAAACTCACCATCAGTAACTTCCGCCCTTAGCGGTAGGACTTATCTAAAACTGTCAATGGCTATGTTAGGTGAGGGGTTGACCTTGCCGATGGCAAGGTTTTGTGTATTCATGAAGCCATCATCAATAGTGACTGAACACTTCACACGCAGGAATCTCAACACATTGGATACATCTCCCAAAATCACTTTTGCCCCTCTCTTCCGCCGGCCGCACTTCTACCAGTACCTTTGGATCCTATCCTGTTATCTCCTTGAAATCACGGCTCACAAATGGAACGCACAAGCATGTCGTCTGCATGTGTTATTATTTGTATTTGCCCGCATTCCTGTCACTTCACTTTCACTACTTTGCCAGACATCCTCGAACAGCCAACCGACCTCCTTGGTCCATTGTTCCTCTAATTTCAGCGCTTCAACTGCTGAACCATGGATCTAGAGCATGAGGCCTGACCGCCTAGTGCTCTTCGTTCACCTATGAGTACACAACAATCTCAGGCGAACAATCACAATCGGATGTCCATGCATCTTGACAACAGATCAAGAAAGAAGTCACAACGAGTCAGAAATCCCATCACTTCAGACGGAGCTCGGCATTCACGATGTCCGCGGCTACGAAATGCGATCAGGTTAATATTTTTCCGTATAAGCAGTCCAGCAGCGACTGATCCACCGACCTTGTTCCGCAATTGCATACACCGCAGCTATGTATTCCTTTGAGCAGCCGAATGGGTATCACGGTAGTCCGAACTTACCTTGAGTGTGAACCGCAATCTGGAGGGGCGTGATCGAGAGATCAACAACACGAATGTTCGATGTACCGCCGTAAACCTATACAAATCCGCGTGGTGAGTGAGGAGTGTTCTGGCATAGTAGTCAAGAACTGAGTTCCCGAACCTTCAACGAAGAATCAACAACGCCTCCCTTGTTCTCAGGCAGCATAGATAAGCTTCCTGTCGTGTCTATAATCCTGTAAGAAAACGAAGGCTCTTCTATCAGGAAATCAAGTACGTACGCCAAGTGGTGGAAAGGCTACTAGCGACATGGGCTGAAAAGACGCGGAACAAGAATAAGTTAAATCAAGTAAAGCCCGCTGAACAAAACAGGCGTACCTCGAACGTCCTCTTCTGATCGAATCTCGGGGCCAGGGAGAACTTCTGCGACGGTGAGCTCCGAAAACGGACTAGTGTGGGCCACTTTGCGAACAAACTTAAACATTTCTACGAGTATGTCCAGGTCTATTTCTTCTTCGAGATAGTGAGGATCAATTACAGGAGGGCCACGAGGATCAGCAGACCCAATGTGCTGCAGGGCGCAGACGAGTAGGTGAGTGATACATCACCACGACGATAACGACAAAACGCACAACTGTGCCCCTGGACCACGGATGGCTAAGAGTAGGTAGAATAGTTATGAAGAGCTTGGAAAAGTCTAGACCAAAGTCAGACATGAGCCAATCTTATCGACGATACCAATAAATGCTTCGAGATTGCTTCGAGACATACCAGTTTGACGACGAAAAAAGGAAAAAATATAGCTTCGCAGTCAGGAACATTAGGGTCCCTTAAGGCTTCTAGTTGCAGTTGCCATTGCTCCTTCAAGCCCGGGGATCTCTCGGTCGTGTCTTCTGCGAGTTTTGCGGCCTGCTTCTCGATTATACCGGCTGAATTTTCCGAGAACTGATCAATCGGAAGGAATGACAATCCAGAAAATACAAGGGAGAGAGGAAATTGGATCAAAGGACTAGGGAATCCAGGTTATATATTGGAGATACTTCACAATTATTAATGTTGACTTACAATTTTCCCATAGCCTTCGCCGCAATTTCCGGGTTTCTCAAGCTATCCAGCGTAGCGATTCCAGCATCTTCACGCATCTCTGCAAGTTATAGTATCAATACCATGTGGGTAAACGGTGTCCCAGGTGAGAGAACACGAACCGAATATAAGACCACCGTGAGATAGGTGCTCCTGGACGTTGGTATTACCGACCGACGGTAGATGATGCTGAACCGGGATACCAAACGAGTCCAGAATACGCTCGTCTCCAATGCCACTCAGCTCCAAAATTTGAGGAGATTTGACGACTCTAATAAAAAGATACCACACATGAACATCATGTCAACTATTCAACCACATAAAAGACTTTCCCTGCGGATATTACGACTTCCTTACGGGCGTGAAACTGATATACCGTTCCTCCGTGTTCGAATTCTACACCAGTGGCGGTGATGAGACCAGATGAGACCATGCTTCTTGGTGGTCGTAATCTTCAGAACATATGCCTCAGTGAGTACAGCCAAGTTCGGCCGATCCATGACTGGTAACAGATAACCCTGAGAACGGTGTGAGGCTAGATGTCTTACAAGACCACAAGAGCATATAGCTTACGGAGACAGAATAGGAGCGCATATTGGTGCTCGGATCGATCACCGATGTCGACTTCCAAGTTCCAGCAGTCTGGATATTTCGTCAGTTGTGCACGAGGAAGGATGATCGGTAACGTGGACTGACATTTCCGCTCATCTGGCCCAAACAAACATTTCTCAGAGTAAAATCGAGCGATTAGGCAATTAAAAACGACTGCATCGTCTATGGTCCTTACACCGTATTTGTCAAAGCTCTACATGCAACGTGATTACTTATTCTCCAAAGCAATACAGTACGGTCTACCTGTTGGAAAGCATACTCGACGCCGGTCACGGACTTGGGGAAAGAGACGATGACGGGACCTGTGAGGTTAATGAGTTGCGATATCAGAAAGAAGCATCGTCGGGAGGCTGACCATCTTGCCCAACCGAGTCAGCATTGTACCGATCCACGTAGGGACCATCAGGCACTTCGGAGGGTGCAATGAAGCTGAGACACATCAGCAAGATAGCACGCGTCTGGACCAGACCGTACAGATGCTCTCCAGAGTACCCAGCGCTCCAGGACACCGTCTGTCTCCAGAACAGCGACGGGTATCCAGGTGTCTATCTGGATGCAGGATGACCATCCAGAGCATCTCCAGACACTTCTCCAGCAACCGTTCCAGTCACAATATATATTCAAAATGACATATTTTCGTCCAGATACACACTGCTACTATATATTGGGCCGCTTAGAATCGCGCCATGGCCCAAATCCTGATCCTTATCCTACTGAGAATCATTCCTAGTCCATGAAACCCCCGCAAAAGACTGAATAACTCGCATCGATCTATACAAACGGGTACAGAAAAACAGCGGGAAAGTTTCATATACGAAACAAATATAATCAGACGAGTACATGACGACGAAAGAAAAGAGACAACGTACCGGTACGACGGCCCAGAAAGGATGGACTTCATGAGTGGCACATGAGTCTGCTAACGGTTGAAAACACAACCGCGCACTGGACGTTGCGTGCACATAGGCAGTCATGAGGGTGACCAGAGAGCACGCACCTGTTGCAGGGACAGCTCTTTTGATAGAGTGAATATCATATAAAAAGGTACCGTCAACGTACATGCTCCAGCTGTATCGTCGTGCGAGATTGCTGTGTAGCGGCCTGCAGACTTGATGACCTGGAGTGTGCAGTGGTAGTGTTTGCTGTGGTCATGTGAGCGCGTTAGCGGGTGGTGGAACAGATGAGTCAAGTGGGAAAGAAGAGATAACGCACACTTCATCTCTGACGAGAAGGGCATTCGACGGCGGTGATGACGTACTGCAGCAGACACGCAGTGCGGGCTGGTCGAGAGGAAGGCGGGGTAAAAGAGGTGCGCACATTCCATTATGCGTATAACTTGGTCACGCGTGAGGCCCAGCGCGTGTGTGATATCGTTGCTGTAGATGTAGGAGCGCACGATCACTGTCTCTAGACCTAAACTGAACATAAAGAGGTTGATCAGGGAGTTCACAGAAATGCACACAAACATATAGTAGCCCATGAAATGAGAAACCATCATAATGGAAACAAATTACGCAAAGTCGAATATCACAAAGGTCGACAAGGAAAAGTAAGATCGGGAGGGGGAGGCAACATCGCAAAGGTAAACGAGTCAAATCATTGAATGCGTACCTTGCTATCCTCCGTGCAGCATCATACTTACACTTATGAATACCCTCTGCGCCCCCAAGGGCCCTCACCGAGGACCCGAAAACACGCATACAAGATATCACGCAGGGCCGTCGAGGTTTACGTGGAGGGACCGATATTTTTTTGTTGTTCTCACCACATCGTAGTTACGAGGTCTGTGAAAGGGGAGAGAGACTAGGTCTGCGCCGTAGATGGAAGAGTAATGGGGGAGCAGGGAGAATGAGGAAGGCGGAGGCAGGAAACGCGAGGCTGCAAGACGAGACGCGACAAGTGTTTTGAAACTCAGCTCGTTGGTTTCCCACGGACAGTCACATGCGGTCCGCGCTCTCCTCGCTCCTGAGATTTGAGACCCGCTCGTATTCCCAGTCCATGCTCTCCTCCCCGTTCTCTTCACCAACTGTTCGCTCCGGCTCCCTGTCAGTTCTGCCGGATCCCTTTCTCCCATCATCGAGCCCTCCAGCTTCATCGAGCAAGAAATTGGATACAGCAGTCTTTATTCCGGAGCAGTGTGTTACTCCAAAGACGAAGTAATCGCGCGTCGGAGATTGTGATGGGGTTTGAAGCATGAAGTTGCATGGGTGGTGGACAGGGGAGATGATGTCAGGTGTTATGAGGCGAGTGTGAGAACTTCACTAGGTGTATTGGGAGTACCGGCTTCTGCGAGCACCTTCCCCTCGCACGAGAATCGTGTGCGAGCTGAGCGTGTTGCAGGCACGATATAGTCATTGTTATATATAGGCTTTTTGTTGCCTCTATGCCATACCATCACTCTTATGTACCATTGTCTTATCACTCCATTGTGAATGAGTGCTTAGAGATGCCGAAGTCACTGACACAACGTAGTTGTGTAAAGGTGCTACATAGGTGCAACTCGACTGGTAGAGTAACAAAATAAACCGGCACGTCGTGCAAAAGTACTGGTATCTGGAGACGCTGGGTGAAAGTGCCCATGTCTGGACGAGCTGGCTCCAGCTCTCCAGAGAGCTCAGCCACTCCAGGGGCTTCCAGACGCCACAGCGGCGTGTTGTCTTGCTGATGCAATGCAGTCAGTCGGTGCGCATCATGGGTCCCATATATTCTCTCACCTTTCTGCTTTCTTTGAATACTTGTAGAACGTATCCCAGCTCCAGCCAACATTGCCTAGTTTCTCCAACGCTGCACATCAGATAGTCATGTGAGTTTAGTAGCGTAGGCAAGAGCATAATTTTAGGAAGCCAATACCGTCGATATCCTCACGTTGAGGACGATTCCAAGCTAGAAAATTCATCGCAGAACTCCCACCGAGTCCCTTTCCTCTGCAAATCATTTCAAGAAACTTCAGGAAAACGGCCATAATTTGGAGTAGAACAGGGCCCACCGGTTCCAAATACCCGTCGTATTACCCAGTTTGGCTTGAGGAGTAGTCTTAAAGGCCCAGTCGTACTCAGGGACCATTATCTGCTTGAGCCATGCGGCGGGAGTGACTGTCAATGGTACAACTTCAGACTCAGAATCAACGAGGTTATCGAGAGGGGTACGCACGAACGACTGGATCGTTGAAATGAGCCTTCCCGGCTTCGAGGATCAGTACTGAACATTGCGCATGTTCTGTCAGCCTAGAAGCCAAACATAATCCGGCAGTCTTGCAAGATGTAAGTTAACAAACAGGGGCGCGTCACAGTAGGAGACGCTCACTCCACCACCTATTCCATGAACAGATCGCGGACATAGTCTTCAGTCAAGACGTACTGGAGAAACGAACAACGATGCATTTCACGAACCGATGATAATTACATCGAACAGTCGGTCGGAAACCTGACCGATGTTTGCTAGTTTGTCTGCCATTGAGCGTGGAAACGAGAGGGGAAGATTACACAGGGCGGGCGCCACAGGTAATGGTATGTTATGGTACTTAAAGGCGCTCTTGCGCTGTACTTGAGGTCTGGAAGCACCGGAACATCGCGGCATCCGTCACGAGCGGCAAGTTCATTTCTGCTGGACCTTTTCCCCAGGCGCTGGACAACGTTCAAGATCACGCGTATTTACTCAATATGTATCTGATGTCGTGGTACACAGTGTAAAATTCAGATTTATTCGTGTCTTTTTTCCTTGCACTATTATCTGAACTTGTTAGCGTCATTAAAGTCGTATAGAGCTGAAGAACAGACATAATCGAAACGTGGACAGACAACTCAAATGAAGTGAGCTTTGAGAGTTCATGAGCCTAAGCGAAAAGCGCTTTGCGATTTTCGGGAATCAAGAAATAAAATAGATCTCGCTCAAGTGGTCTGCAAGCCCTCCATCCCGCCAAAAGTCAGACTATTCCTTAGCCAGTACGACATAATCAGACTTGATATAGCCTACTGGAAACTCTTCCACGCGTCATAGTACAGTTTCAATCCGTCCCCAAAACCCAGCTTTTTCGGCTGCCAGCCAAGCAAGGCTTTCGCCAGATATGGGCGCATGAGCAGCGAAGTAGACATGGCAGCCTCGAATACTGAAACGAGTAGAACACATCTCAGAACCACCTCTAGAGCGAAAAAAGAGAAACTCACTATTAGAGGGCTCGACGTAAGTGACCGAGCCTTTCACCCCAACCACCGCGAACACCCTCTCGAAGATATCATCCATCCCTTCCGTCTGATCATTCGCAGCATCGAAGATCGAACCTCCAACAAACAATGCCTTCTCCGTCACCCGCACATATAAATCTGCCAAATCGTCTGCATGCACAAACCCCGTTCGCGCGCCGGGTTTTCCGAACCACTCTATCTTCCCGGTCTGCGCCTTCGCAAAGATGGCAGCGGTGAGCGATCCGGAGTAGCCGTACAGAATTCCAGGACGAATAACGATTCCGTTGACGATCTGGCTCTTGGTGACGAGCTGTTCGTATTCGTGACGCCAGGCGACGAGAGCGGGTGGTGTGCCGAGAATGGAGGTGTCAGAGACGAGCTCCTCGCGATTCTCACCGTGGACCCAGGCGCCGCTTGTGTAGATGTACGTGAGCTTCGGGATAGAGGATGGGCGGAGGTCTTTTGCAGCGGTGGTAATAGCGTCGAGCAGGGATGCCGATAGCTTGTTAACCTGGGCTCCGCCGGTACAGTCAATGACGACGTCCATAGAGCGAACGATGGACACCCAGGTGGACGGATCACTTGCATCCCCAATGATGGGGATAACTGAAGTCAGCGAGCCTGTGAGTGCCGTGAACCGTTATAGAAAAAAATGACCGATACATACTCTCTGAGGCCCGCAGCTTTTGCGCTTGCGATTCCTGACGAACAAGGCCGTACACGATATGCCCAGCTCGGCTCAAGGCTTGAGTGGCAGGCCACCCGATGAAACCTGTGGCACTGGGGACAGAGGGTACCGTCAATTCATTCGCCAAAACATCCCTAGTCGAGAGGTCACTCACCCGATGACAAGCACGATCATGATGTGCTGAAAGGAGCTTTCACGAGTGAAGGAAGTGGAATGGGATGCCTGTGCCCCCTACCGCTGTCTCGTATATATTTACCTCTCATGTAGACTTCGCATTTCTCAGCATACTCATGCTTATTGAGCGAACAACCTAAATTAGGCAACATCCCCACCATTTCAGTTATAGCGTCTATGTCGACACAGCACCAGGCGGTCAAAGATGCCCATCTCTATACAGTTCGAACGCTATATACCTTCAATCCTTTAAGCGGATATCAAAGATAGTTGGGCGACTACACGGGCTGACAGAGATGCGCACTGTGCACCTCAACAGCACAAAAAATATCCGCGCAACGAGTTATAGAAATAGATTTCTGACAAGTCTGTATGACGCTGTGGGATCAATGGGCGAATTCGCCACAAGTGGCTGTCATAGCGCAAATGATCCCACGGCGCTCTTGCACAATGAACACGACCGATCCCGTGGAGGAACGAATCCAGGCCGCAAGCGCTGAAGCCGTTTCCCAGACCAAGAAGCAGTCGAACGATCAGCTGCGGGCTACTATCGCACAGTACGATGAGCAGGCGATGTCCAAGTCTGAGGAAAAAATATGCACGGATGTTGGTAGTCAATCAATGGTAACAGAGTTGCGACCAGGCTTTGATTGGATATGTAGTAGACATTACCGCTGCCCACGAAGAGCCCTCCGTTCTGCGCCGAGAGTCGAAATCTCCTTCAAATCGATGATTCGGAACGCCCACGTCAACGCGCTTCCTCCGCTTCTGAAGTCCCGTAGGCTCATATCACGGAGAAGTTTGTCGACAGTCTGCGGCCACCTATCCATATCACAAAAGAATAAATGCCACTGAGAGGATGCATAGACAAAATAAACCTACGACCAGAGTGCGAGATCTCCACTATAACTCGCATTGGCCCACATGACCTCGTACGGGAATCGTTTCCGAAGCCAGGCAGTGTGTCGCTGAGTCTCTTTGAATGCATCTTCTGCGGATGGGACTTTGAGGAAGGGGTCGTCGAGGAAATAGGACGATATCCAATGAGAAGACACTTCGGTCAGATAACCGAAGTTGGCAGCGAGCTGAGATGAGTGATGCACGATGTTTCGGTGCAATCAGAGACGGTGTGTGCGAGTAGAAGAGATGTGAAGCTTTAGAATGAGGTGTGCTCACTATGGATCCGTTGATGGCGAAATCTCGCCTATCGATTATCTTGGAAGGAACGATTCCTCGGTAGATTGATGTGGCCCAGCGCTTATCCGCGTCCAGAACACGAGGAGGGCGTGAAAGTGACTGGTAGGAGTCCCATTCGGTGTCGAACTCGTCGGATGGTGCATGTTGCGTAAGTCCAAGCTCTTCCTTCGTCTCATCTATCATTGCGCCATATAAAAAAAGCCCTTCAGCGAAACATCAAGCCCAAAAGGCAGTCTAGCGGACTATACCATCAAAAAGAGCGTCCCACGACGAGGAAAAGCCAGTCCCAAGAACCACTGCGTCAGCATTCACCTTCGATCCGTCACTGAGCAGGACGGCCTGACTCTCCAGGCCTATGACTTTGGCCGGAGATATGATCTTGATTCCAGAGGAGGGGGAGTTGTTGGCTAGGGAGAGCCAGTCGGTGGAGGATGGGGCTCCAAGATCGTCGGAGCGGTATTCCCAGAAGAGGGAGTGTGTGTTGCGAAGCGGCGATCCGAGCGGGATTCGAGCGGTCAAAAACTAGGTTCATCACGTTTAGTATCGACTTGGAACGGCTTCGTGAGCACTTACAGATATCTGGACAAGGAACTCCCAGAAGAGGAAGACGATCCAGCTGCCGATCCCAGTTTTGTGGAGGAAACGTCTGGAGATGAATCCAGGTGAATATTCCAACAAGAAGGTAAATGGGACGGTACGTACTCGAGACAACTGTTGAGCTCAATATAACCGCTCATGATAGCAAGGATTCTGGGCGAGTGTCAGTAAAAAAGGTGTACGGGGAAAGGGAGGATCATCATACCTGCTCTTTCGGATGAATTCAGGCAACGGAATAGGAGCGGCAATGAACGCATTTGCCTTGCCGAATACGACCGTTACCTTACGACCTTCACGAGCAAGCATGGCGGCAGCACTGTGTGACACCGTTCGAGTGCGGTCAGACCAGCCACAGGAATAGGCATCCAAGAGCGTAATGGTAATGAAACGCACTCTTGCGCAGATTTTCCACCTCCTACCACGACTACCGTTCCAGCGTCCGGTGTTGCTCTGGGACCGACTGTTTTGAGAACAATTTCCATCATCTTCTTGAACTCGTACGTATGAAGCACGGGCCCGTCGAACTTATGCATAGACGCTTTCACAGCAGGCGGAATCAAAGGAGCGCTCGAGCCCTATAATAAGATCTCCATCAGCATGTAACACAAATTGAGGAGAAAATAGCGTACTAACGCCAGAACACAAGACAGTCTTGTCGAAGAAGATGTCTTCCTCGGTCGATTTAACTAGGTCTCGAACTCGAATCTTCCAAGCGCTCGTGTCTCTGGTCTGATTATGCCTCACATCCAGGACTTCGGTCCCATACCGAATCTTGCCTGCGAGAAATCGAGTTGTGAACGATTCTAGGTAGTTGGATAAGTCCTCCCCGGTCAGACGTCCAGATTCTGCTTTCGATGGAGGAGGCATGGGAAGGCTGGAGAAGCGATATTCCCCGTGGACGCTAGAAGGGGTATTGAGAGTCAGCGTCTGTCTATCGAGTGGCAGAAACGAAAGAGTTACTTGTTGATTTTCAGGGATGGGTAGATGCGCTCGACAGCCCACGTTCCTCCCGGATGTTGATCACGTGTCAAAATCGTGATGTTCTCAAAACCATCGTCGAGTAGAGTTTTGGCAGTGATTAGCCCAGCAGCACCGGCGCCTATGATGCCTATCGAGCTCGAATGCATGATCAAGGTGCACGATAATGAGACTGGCGGAACGATGAGTCGAGGGAGGTGCGGCGCAAATGTCCTAGCGACCATACTACGTCGTCGTATAAGTACGGATCCAAGTCGGAGAGAGCCGTTAATTCAGTGCAGGAACCATGGTCATATGGAAGCATGGTGAAAGTGAAACGAAGAGGAACAATCATCGGGGAGTACTTCGGAACGCGCTTGGCAGCCTTTTATATTGCAGCACAGGCCGTTTCTATAGTGTATCAAGAGAGCGACATTTTTACGCAAGGCAAGGTCGAGGGCCCCCAGATTATCAAAGTCAGTGAATAGCCAAGAGCGAGCAACGGTAATGATGTTTTCTGCGTAGCAAGGTGAACAAGGACGTAGTCAAAAGACATTCAAGCGTCCGGCGCAGTCTATGTACTGTATCTTCTTCGGGTCACCCGAGCAGTATTTGTCAAAGGCACGCGTGAGGGCCGGTGTGCTGTAGATTCGCAGTTGTAATGTGTCTAAGTGGAGGATTCAGATGGATGATCGCGATAAAGGCTGCAGGTAGCTTAGAAGGAGGCGCATTGAGAGCGTTCCAAGGTGGTGATGGTGGTCGGGGAGGAAAGTGAGACCAACTCAGACTCATCACTCGACATGGTTTGCGTGGCGATCAAACTCCGCCGGGAATTGCCCCCGAGCATTGGGCCACAGTTTCCGACTTCGACCCACGGAGCATACAACCCCTTTCATCATGCTCGTGTCCTGCTATTCCAGCTGCTTTCACAACTCTAGACAGGGGGCAAGATCTTTCGCCTGCACCAAACAGAAACGAGGATGGACCAAACAAAGCTAGATTTCACTGCGAGCGGATCTCAAATTTCTTTTCTTCTCACTCACGACGCCACACTCTTACGTTGGTCGTGTGCGGATGCCCCATTCGGGCAGAGAATGAATGCAGAGGCTGTGTGTTTGGTCCGTCAAAATTGATGTTTGGCACACCGAGAAGATTTCGTACCCTGTCTAGAGTTCTGAAAGCAGCTGTCAAGAATCTAATTCATAAATTAGAATGAAGTTACCCGCAGTGAGTGATAATGATCGTTGATTTATTCCCACCTGCAGTTGAAAGCAGACCGCCTGGTTTGGAGTTTCTCCTCGTCTATATGCATGAAGCATATTCTACCGAGCTTTCGGAAGGTGAAATATACTCAGAATTTAGGACGGCAGACATCATAACTCCGCACACTTGGTTGTATTACTGTACTTTTTCGACCAAGTGTTCGTGGGAGAATTATGTCAGCCGTGACCACCGCTGGGCCACGGTTCGTTCAGGTGGGCCACGCGTGACGAACAGGCGAAATTGCTCGCATTTGGAGGAGGGGGGCGTATTGGTATCGAGGTTCGATCCTTATGCGTACAGTTTTGGTGGCAAACGCGACGCGAGGTCTGATCCTGTGCGTACATGACTGGCCTGGATTTGCCTCTTGGTCCGATCCCTTGAACTGCCCTTGTGCGTACGGAAAGTTGGCAGGACTGCCTAGGTCTGATCACTATGCGTACAATTTTGTTGTATGTGTTCAGGCTTGGTCGCCAACCTTCACTCTCCAACACTGTACGCCACTGCACAGACCATTCTGTGTCAAATTGACGGTGTTTTAGGTGTTCGTCTGGGAGAAGGTCCAATCCCTCGTGAGTACGGAAGGCGCCCTTATTTGGACTACCCGATCCACAAAAGTACAGAAATCCTCCCAAACCTTGAGTACAGAACTACCCGAATTTTGGGTTTTGGGATCGGACTTCCGTACCGATACGCCCCCCTCCTGCATTTGGCCCAAAAATTGCATTTCAAATCGGTCACGATTTTCTGTTCGTGAGCCCCTTTGTATGCGTGACGCCGGGACCAAATCTGTTCGTCGACGCAGTCGGCGTGACGCGTGACGAACACTTCGTCGAAAAACTACAGTATGTTCTATAGCAGCTCACAGACTTGAATTCGCAGAAAGCCATCCTCGTCCAATCCCGGATCCTCTTCCGCTCTCCAAAATATAACATTCCTGCATAACGCGACATTAAGTATGACGGAATAGTATTTCTTCCAGGCCACTATATCCATCCGTCTCAACGAACCAATGAATGTTCGGCCTGGGCCACATCCAAAGTGCCACCTGAAGCCGTCAGCGGCCTTACGCGGGAGGGCCGCCTATGATTTAGCCACGTGGGGGTATAGCACAGTCGGTACATCGCCAACTCAGTTGTCTTGCAATGGCCATCATCCACGGACGGTTTCCTCATCCTCGCTGACTTACGTCTCTTTTTACTTCTTTATTGTCCTCGTCGTCGTCTCTGGCTTCAGACGGAATCCATTCGTTCTCTGACACACTGGCTCGATGTGGCCATTCTCGGGCAACGGCCTGCGGCACTCGACTGTGGAATACATCCCGCTCTTCAACCCAAACGCGTCTCTCCAGTCTGTCTATCCTCGGAACAAGCAGCAATGGCTATACGTCGTGATCGCGTTGCTATCAACGATGAATGTAGTACTATTAGGCAGGGCATGGTACACGTACATCCCTGCGCCATCATTGCTCGACTCGTATCAGATCCTGTGAGTCCTCTCCCCGTTTCGCACACGACCCTCCAACCGACCGAACGCAGAAAACCACAATTCGTCGTAGGACGGCAGGACCTCGTCCAACCACCCCGAACAGACGACGAATCACGTGCGGTCGTCACCTCCCTCTACACCGATGCCTTCGCCTACCCCGTCGCCGCCCTCGGCCACTCTCTCACCGCCGCAGACGTCACCGCCCGCAAAATCCTCATGTACCTCCCCAACCAGGTCTCCCTCAAAGCACTCTGCATCGCCCAAGCCGGCGGCTGGCAACTACACGCCGTCCCACTCATTTCTCCCCCAACCTCCAGCGCGTCCGGGATCGGAAACCGTTTCGGCGACCAGTACACGAAGCTGAACCTGTGGACGCTCGACCAGATCGGCGTCAAGGCCGCCGTGTACCTCGACGCGGACACGATCGTGCGCAAAAAGTTCGACGAGCTCTGGAATCTGCCGTACGACTTTGCTGCGGTCCCGGACGTGTGGGAGACTGCGCGCGGGTTCATCCTTGGCTTCAACGCCGGCATGCTCTTCCTTCGGCCTTCGAACGACACCTTCACGAATATGATGAACAATTTGGAGCACGCAGTCTACCCCCCGCACGAGGCCGAGCAGGCCTTCCTGAATCTTTACTTTGGCGGCGAGGCGGTGCGCCTGCCGTACGTGTATAACGCGAACCTCGCTATCAAGACGCGGACGAAGGACTTCTGGAAGGCGCTGCAGGACGACATTCGGATAGTACACTACACCACTATTAAACCGTTCTTCTACAGCGGAGGGATCCCTACGCGGGAGAAGATGCAGGAGGAGGTGGACAGGTCGAAGACTAAGCGCTGGGGCGAGTACAAGGAGGAGGTCTTGTGGTGGGAAGAGGCATGGCACGGCGTCCTAGAGAATCCAGAGCTAGAGAAGTGTTTCGAAGACGATCTGAGCTGGTGAGGGGATTAGAGAGCAACCGGTCGGTCGGTACTACGATTAGGAGGGGGGCCGTGTTCGAGTGGGCAGGGTACGCTTCAGACCTTCGTGGCGTGTGAGATATATGGGCTTCGGGTGATATGGACAGTCATTTGACGGACGCTGCAATCCGTTTGTTGTCGCATCTGCATTCCTCTGCATCCTTTTCGGTTTTGGTTTTGCTTATTTATATTGTTGTTTCTAATTATCGTTTTTATTAACCTCAGATCTCAGATTCTATCCTCGTCGAGTATCGGGGCTCCACACCTCTCTCTTCCACCACCCGCAGTCAGTCGTCTTCATCGCGGTCCACCGCAAAACACTCCTTTTCGCTGTTGGTTTTCCGATGTTCGGCGAGCATTGTACTTCAATCTTCTTGAATAATACATTGGCGTGTGTGTATCACAATCATTCTGTCCCAGGATCTATGTCTATGCGAGCGATTGTGACTGGTGCGCCCTCTGGCAAGGCTCATTGGAGACACCACAATCAGGTGCCACACGACGTCCTCAGCTTTTGCCTCGGGCCTCTTTCGTTCAAATATCGCGACAAAAGGTGCGTTTGTAAGGTCTTGTTCTCTTCGGCGTAGTCTGACATATTCTCTCCGTCCCAGATATTGAGCTTCATCAACGCTTACGGTGCTACCTCAGCTCTTAGTGAGCTGGAATGTGTCTAAGAGGAGTCCCTGTTGCCCTTCTCGACGCTGTCGTTGCATTCGCGGGTCCTTTTGCTCGGCCCTGCGGCCACTTTTCTAGGCGCGCAGCCCGATCCTTCGAAATCCTGACTGGACTACACCGGGGCGTCACGATAGCAATATCGACGAAATATATACACCCTCCGGCTCGTCCTGGTACAGTGCACTTTCGAGCATGCTCGGCCATCTTTATGCTCCCCGGGTGCTTAGTCTCGCTTGCTAAGCACAGGTCTGCTTAGAAACACCCATCAATATTGATTCAATCACTACGAACAGAGCTAGGTGCATATATACTGACAGGTTTGCCCTCAGGGTCCGCACTTCGCCTGTTTAGCCCCTATTCGAATCCGTTATACGAATCATGAACGTACTTGTCCTCGGGTGAGTGTCCCTTCGACCTTCGAGTCTCAACAGATGACACGGGAGCTGATGGTGCGTTGTGTTCTTCATAGTGCTACAGGTTACATCGGTTGGCCTACCGTTCAGGCTTTAAGTCGGGCTGGACATATCGCCTATGGCCTCGTACGCCAAGAATCTCAGGCCCAGAAACTGCGAGCTTCTGAAAGTACGTGCGACTTAGACTATTGTCATAACTTATTGACCGTACGACCCGTATATTTCAGTTATCCCCGTCATCGGCGACGCAAGCGACCCGTCCACCTGGGTATCCATCATTCGCTCCCTCGACGTCATCATCGACTGCACAGGCGGACCCGAGGTCGAACGACTCTCAAACGCGCTGTTCGACGCTATCACCACCGCAGCGAAGGACCGTCCCTCCACCGTACCGAAACTCACATACATCTACAGCAGCGGCGCCTCCGTACACGGGGACAACCGCGTCGACCTCGTCTCCGAGACGTCTATCCTCGGCACCCCAGCCGCGCTCTTCGCGTGGCGTCAGGAATTCGAACGGCGCGTCGTGGGGAGCGACATCGTTAGCGGGATCGTCATCCGTCCTGGGCTGCCACACGGCTATAACGGGGGTATCACGGCGTATTGGTTTAAGATGGCGGAGAGCGGGAAGGTGGTATGGTATGGCAAGCCCGGGGGAAGGACGGGGTTCGTTCATGTGGACGATTTGGCGGATTTGTATGTTAGGGTGACGGAGGGCGCGTCACTGGTCGGGGGGAGGATTTTCGACGCGGCGAATGATCAGACGGAGGGGGTGGATGATTTGTTTGAGAGGATGTTTGATGCCGTTGGGGTGAAGGGTGAGGTCACTTATCTCGAGCCGTCTAATAGTGAGTTTTTTTGTCTGACACTCCGTGTTTGTGGAATTCTCATGGTCGTGGTTTGGATTTAAGTTTTGGAGGCTGTTATGTCTACTACGATACTCATGCGTCCGTATTTGGCGAAGAAACTGCTTGGCTGGCAGCCGAAGAAAGTGGGTTTGGGCGATGGGATGAAGCTGTACTACGACGCGTGGAAGAGCTCCCAGTAGGCGGCGGCAGTTCTGGTTTTGTTGGTATGGTTCGGGAACAACGATTCTTTTGTCTGAGAAGAATTCAAAGACGCGAGGACCCCTTACCTTATTATTAAGAGCACGACGGCCTAACACCCTCCTTGTGGCCCGCCCAGAGGTGCATCGTCAATTCCTTTGACTTGCCTCGCGTTGACGACCAGCTCTCAGAGGATTCCGTTGACGTTAATGACCTTCCCCTTGTGACTGAGCTCGCTGAGAGTCTTTGATCTTCTTTTCCCTTGACGCATATTGTTGGCAGGACTGGTGGCCGAAAACCATATAGCATGTACACGTCGACGAAGCAAGGACTGAGAAAGACTAGGTTGGGACTGTGGCGATGTATAGAATCACGTCTCACGTCGTATGCGCAATAGTCCTAAAACCCACTACCATCCGACTTTTTGATCAAATCTGCAACCCTTTCGGCCAAAGCGTACACTGCAGCCTGCGTGTGCGCCGCCGGGATGAAAGGCTGTGACATCAAAACATCCAAAAATACTCAGTACAAATCTCGATGGCAAAGCGGGCGACGCAGAAGGAAAAAGACTTACAATAGCAGACGCGTCGACGACTCTCAGGCCCACAGTTCCCTTTACCCTCAGATCAGGCTCCAACGGCCCTTCTCCTCCGTCCCCTGCTCCCTGCTCCAAATCACCGTTCCTCGTACCAATGGCCACCGTACAACACGCATGATTCACGTTAAATGCATTATTCCTCGCATACTCCTCAATTTCGATATCCGTCTTCGCCTCCTTAAATGCTCCTACCTCACCGAGGATCCACCCGTCCCAGGCAGGCGCTGCCATAAAGCGACGTGCGACTTTGATAGCGTGGATCATAATGCGGATATCTATTTGCATGTGGGTCGGAGAGGAGGTTTAAGTTGATGAGGGGTGGGGAAAAGGGAGAGGAAGTGTTTAGGGAGATGGAGCCACCTATCGGTAGCACGAGAAATATGAGAGATAAGAGACAAAATGGAATCCGGTGTATTTCTCGTACGCGAAGCAGGGGAAAAGACGTTTGCAAAAACTGTGAAGAAGTGACCTGTGGCTGGTGGCGGAGCCCCAACGGAGACGAAACCGTCCTGGCTTCAATGATGTGTGGTATGTGTGGTAGAAAGCGAGGATAGTCGGGAGGGAGGGCGATCAGAAGTAGAATAGCGATATGAAGCAAGGCTGTGGCAATGAGCGTGAGGGAGTACTACATTCGGACAGAGGGAGATGAGTTTGATATTCGACCGAGGAGCAGGGAGAGAACACGCACCTATTCTTGCGAAGTGCGATATAATTCAGTCCCTCAGGCCGATCCAGAATAGGTTCACATCCCCTGCTAGTGAATGCCCATCTCGCGCCCAGCATCCTATGCGCATTTTCGTCCACCATCTCACCATAGTACGTCATAAAATTGAATTCACAGTAAAAGTGAGGGCCTTGGCGGCTTGAGATGAACCGGAGACTGAGTGCCGCTTGGTTGTGAGGGGACAAGTGCCGACCGAGATTGAACACGACAGAGGATGATGACCTAGTCGATTTGCTGAGGCGACAGGAGCAGGGAGTATACTGCCAGCTGACTAACACGCCCAGGATGTCGGGATACGCATCACTCAGGAACGGAAGGTACATATGGGCAGTTCCTTTGCTAGGGCTGAGTTGAGAGCGCGATCCGGATGTTGAAGCCGAAGTCAGACAAAACAAATACATTAAGGACATGTAACACACACCTCATAATACTCGATGCGCACGGTCAATCCCTTTTTATCTCCCGTTGACTAGGATGACCAGCTGTCCGAGTTGTCGGAGAGATCGTATCGACAGCCGGGAGCGACGAGCAATGCTCTATGCTAGATTTGACAGTCACAAGGTGTTCAAAAGCAGGTGTAAGAAGAGTGTTGGTGGTGGTGTTACGGAAGCAGCCTTATGGATTCGAGACTTGGCCAGCGCGACGAAAACAAACAGGAATATCGTCAAGATAAATGAGGACGAAAACATAGGGATCAAGGAGCACTGATAGCTAGAGCCAAGGCGGCGTTGGATACGAGCACTGTGAGCAGGAGAGAGGAAGCAACAGAGCGTAGACTTGAGAAGAGAGAAAAGCAACCGGCGCAGTTGAACTGGAAGGGTTCTTAACTTGACCATATTCTAAGGTTAGGGCTTCACCGGCGCAGGCCGCTCGCTCGATACTTATTTAACTTTATCCGCTAACTTCGCAGCTTGCTTCTCCCATCCTCTGGCAACCCCCCACCATGAACGGTGCTCCAGCACCGGCGGTCGAGCGAGAATGATACAAACTAATTCCAAAAGACGAGAACTCTGAGGACCTCACATCCAAATGTTTGGGACGATTCTGAGCTTTGCGCCACATCGCCCGCAAACAGGGACTGTTCACGAATTGCAATCTCTCTTGCTCGAGTCAATGATTCCGTTTTTTCCCCTTGCGAACCCACGACGTGTGACGTTTATCAGCTCTCTATCTAGCCTATCTCTATTGTCGACCGCTCAGCCCTCCCCTTCGATATCACGATGCCTCTCCGTATTGTCCTCGCAGTCTTTCTCGCGCGGTCCAACTCTGTCCGGAAAACGTTTCTGACGGGAGGTAACCAGAGTATGCAAAGGACCTGCGGGATGAAAAGGTTCTGCTTATCGGGAGATAGGTTCGTAGAGTTTCGGCGATATGGCGAGGTTAGGCCTTTCCGAAACTCGCATCCATGACAGAAACCTTTACATTTGCTTTACATAGACTAGTACCCGCATTTGATATCGGGCTGTATGCCTTTTGTCCAGGCTAAAGAATGACCGCTTGGCAGACGAGTGGGTGAGGAGGGCGGGGTACCGACCGATGTGGTGTCGTTCTCCGTTGATCTCACTTGTTCCTATATCGCGCTGAAGCTCCCCTTTCTTTGCATCCGAAACAAGACTTACTGTGTGGCACACGTATCTTTTCGGCTCACAATCGTCGGCGGCATACCTGGTACGTGTGTTCTCATCACATGTTTCTGATGCCTATACACCTGCATTAGTCTGCAGGTCTCCGTTATGATGCGCCGTAGGACTCAGGTATATGACGATTCAATATTCGATCTTGAGACGTGTGGTGAAGCCGATTCATCGCTACCGGCTGAATATATGCGTTGAAGCCTTCGGGCCTTTCTGCTGAGCCGTCAGAGTGGTCTTGCCACGTAGCTGCTTCGGTTTTCTTTTGACTGTGTATGAGTATATCGGTTGACCGTGGGTGCGACTGTCGTCGTCCAGTCAGCGAGTAAACCTTCCCTGTGCTGACTCGCACCAGTGTATGCTGCGATAGACATTGTTAGTCCATATCCTAACCCTATATCCGCCTCATGGTACACCTCTTCGCTTGCGGAATTTCGATGTCAACTTCGCGGAGCTCAGATCACCATTTTCCATTACCGGCTTAATTAGCTTGGTTAGCTTGAAGCGTGCCCATTGAAGTGCTCGTTTCATCGCCACTTGCTTGCATTATTCTACTGTCGTGGCTTTCTGCGATATATGGAAGGGGCAGGCGTATATAGGCACCCGTCAACTAGGACAGTCTCACTTGTAGATTGTCTCTGTAAATTCATGAAACAGACGTAATATCTCTCTCTTCGTTCGTCAGTCCATTGATTGAAAAACCTGCCAGTGTCCATTACCGAATAGTTTCTCGGCTCACCCGAGCGAATTTTCAGTGGCTGCCTCTACTGATGCTTGGCGGGTTATACGATCACGCTCATCCTGCTCGAAAATCATGACGGTTGAACGGTCTGCTTGCCATTGCCCTTGTTGACCATAAATTCAGTGCCGCTCATCCAATAAATTTATATCCGAGTCATTCTGCCGAAAAGACAGTTTGAGACTAGTGGACATTATTATAATGGCTGCTGAGATGGGTGCGACATATGGGACAGGTAACTTAGGCATTGTATAGAAGAGAGAAGGGCTGTATAACGACCCAAGACCACGGGAGAGGTAGAGTGGGCGAGGTAAAATGATGGACAGTTAGTAAGATGAAACCTCCTCCAGGACGGCCAACCAGGCCGGTCGGGAGGATATGTCCTTCCACCACCTAGAAAGCGGTGAGTTGAATGAGAGTTGAGATGTCAATAAAAGTATCAAGAGAACGATGGTCAGAGAAAGTACGCAGTAGGATGAGTTATAGAAGAATTACCTCGCGACGTTAGGCCTGACGGTGAGTGCATCGATGCCACCAACGTCGAGGAAGTGACCGTTCGGAAGGTGGTACAGATCAGCAAGGGTCAAATCCTATCATTTTTTCATGTAAAAAAGGCCAACAAGTGCACAACGTAGAGAAGTTGGTCAGTTCCAGTCTGATTTTCCAGGCTAGACGTATGATCGGCACTTACGTCGCCAGCAAGATACTTCTGCTTGCCAAGAATCTTCTCGTAGACGTCGAGCTTCGCGTTCAGTGTAGCAAGGGGGGCCTTGACGGCTTCTTCGTCCGTCTTGACGCCGAACATCCTGCAAACAAAATGTGATGCGTCAGTAAAATGGACCACAGCTCACACTCGGGTACATCAGGCGGAGATTGGGAGGTCTTAAAGGGGACCAAAACGCGGTGACAATGGGAACAAAAAAAAGGGAGAAACGAACGGCTTGACAACCCTCTCAGAGACGACTTTTGTCGCACTCGGATCAAAGCTGGCCATCTCCATGCTCGCTGCCTGCTCGAACTTTGCGTACTTGACAAGATCGGTAGTACCCTGAGGGAGAAGCGGTGTCTTCGGGCCTTGGGAGGCATACTTTGTAGCGATGTATCGGCCTATGGCACGGGATTCGTAGAGAATAAAACCGTCGTCGTCCTGGATAATGCAGATGGAGGTGGTGTTTGAAGAGTCAGTACACTGTCTTAATAGTGTGGAGTGAGAACAAACGACAGAATGAAGAAGAGAAAGAAGAATTTGGGTAGCGGTGGAGTAGTCGCAAAATCAACGAATAAAAAGAAAGGCGCACAATGTACGGAACTTCACCGAAGGGCTGATACTCCATATAGGCCGGGGACTTATGTGCGCCGGCGGGAAAATCAACAAAAATAAACTCGTACGGGACATTGAGCTCCTTGAGGATGAGAGTGACACGCTTTGTTGCGAGAGAGACGGGGAAGCCATAGACCTTGAGAACCATATTTGCGAACAAGCGAGCTGTTCTATGTGAGCTTGTGTTCAGTATCGATGGTGTGGGCGAATGAAGACGAGGTCGGGGCTACTTAAGTTAGATTTGAGGATAGAGGTTATGCTCGAACGTGTAGTGGCCGCAAGGTGAATGGGCCATGGACGGTGAAAGCCGGTGCACTCTGTACTTTGCTCACTAAGCAAAGCAAATGACAAAGCATCGACCTTTTTCCCCTGGTCTCGTTCGAGTCGAACACTGGTCAAACACATTGTTGTGATTAGGTACTTGTCCCCTCCTTTTCGATGATCACCATTTGTCAGCTGTTCTTCTTTTCCTCGTCTCCACCGTCCTCCATCTTTGCTGAATCATACACCCTTGCTTCGATCTCTTGCCCTCGGTTGTCTTATCATTCAAATAAGAACAGACTATCTGCGATCGAGAACGACTGGCAACGCAATGGGCACCCAACTAAGCAAAAATGGATGGCTTCATATTTGACCCATCACCGCGCTCCCATTGAGCCTTCACCGCACCTCAGACCCAATTTCGCAGCGATATCGACGAGTCGAGCTCGGTCAAGAACCAAACGCGCGCTCGTTTTGATAATGTGCTACCGGAAAGCTTCTGATGGTCTCAACACCGTTGAGCAAAAAGTCTAATAATAGCCCGCCGGGTTGTGTTTGTTTTATTATTATTTTGCTTCGTTCATGAACCTATTCCTGTATCGGGCTCCTGCAGTACGGTCCTTATCTAGCTGTGATGAATCTAATGCAAGTGGTTGGAAGCTCGCCCGTTCGTACGTATATCTCGTCTTAAGAGCAAAATTTCAGTCGCAACCGCGAAAACTGAATCGACTTAACCATTTCGCCGGGGTGAACTCGGATGGATGGAGCTTACTCATCCATGTTCATGACATCCTTCAGGACGTCATTCTACCCACCTTACCTATGGTGAGTCCTTGTCAAGGTGCCCGGGCTCAATGGTGAGATACATAACACCTCGCGAACTAGCTTTGATTGGGTCTAACCCCATCCGGTTTCCCCTTGTACGGTATGTTGCTTCGGTCATCGTCATACACCTCACGCAACATATCGTCTTCACGATTGGACTCTTTTGTCCTTCAAGTAGCTGTTAGTAAGCAGGGTAGGTATTCTCGATAGCGAGGTGCTGACTGATCTATATCCTTAGTAATGCTCATGAACGACTCGTAAATTCGCATCTTCGTTGTCCCGCATCCGAGCCTACAGCGAAGATACTTAAGAAGCGTATGGTACGGCTCCTTTCTGCAGTCCTCGTTTCTAACTGCCTTCTCTCCACTGCTCCATTGATATTTTTCTCACTTGCACCAACCCTTGCTATATCCATCATGGTTAAAGTCGCTATCGCTGGTGGAGCGGGAAATCTTGGCACGTATATCGTCAAAGCGTACGTCCTTCCTCACCTGCATCATATTCCCCTCATTATTCCCATCTCCATCTTCTTCATCGCGATAATTGTATCCGATACCAACCATTCCCACAACTACAGCATCCTTGAAGCGGGGCGTCACACTCCAATCATCTTGTCTCGATCTTCCAAACCAAGCTCTTTGGAGGCAGAGGTCCGCGTCGTCGACTACTCCGACCACTCTAGCCTCGTCTCCGCGCTCGACGGCGTCCACACCGTCATCGTCACACTGTTCTCTACGGACGTCAAGGAGAGTGTCGACAATCAGCTTGCACTCCTGAAGGCTGCGCAGGAGGTGGGCGTGAAGAGATTCGCGCCTTCGGAATGGGGCTCCAGGGTGAGTCTAGTCTGAATTTTCGTCGGTTCGCTTTCATATTGTCCAACCCATGACGCTCATGCGTATGGAACCATTAATTTTCCGGGACTGACGAAATTCTTTGGCACGCCGGGGGATAACAGGACCATTCCGAGTTCTACATGTATCACCCGAAGATGGAAGTCTGGGACGTTGTAAAAACGTCCGGGCTTGAGGTGACGCGGTTCGTCACTGGGTACGTCCGTCCTTCACCCAAGGAGACCTTTTGCTCACGACACGAAATGCGGCTTTCTTTTACGTATCCTATAGCCTCTACATAGATATGTTTGTCGGGCCCGGAAAGTTGTTCATCGACACGCTCGCTGGTACAGCGAAAATCCCTGGAGACGGGACGGCCAAGACCACGTTCACCTACACTCCGGACATTGGCCAGTTCGTCGCTGCGAGTCTAGACCTGGAGCGCTGGGACGAGGTGAGCGGTATTGTCGGAGAGACGAAGACTTGGGATGAGGCCGTGGATATTGCGGAGGTGGTCACGGGAAAGAAGTTCGAGAGGACGTACATGAAAGAAGGAGGTGGTGAGGCGGCGAAGCAGCTTTTGGAGAGGAAATTCTTGGCTGGGGTGCGTAGCTTTTCACGGGTGTCTCTTCTTTTTGTGATGGCCTCATTGCGTTTGTTTTGCTAATGTTTTCCCTGCACTTATGTCCTTCAGCTCACCAAGTCGGTGGTCGCTGGCCACTGGGAAGTGGAGCCTACGTTGAATCGGAAGTTCCCTCAGCTTCGTGCCTTCACCGTGGAGGAGTATCTCCGTCAGTCTTGGAAGGGTACCAATTAGTCTACTCTAATTGGTTCTCGTACGAAACGTGATACTTGTCGATGATGATCAAATGTAAATTTACCGTTTGCCGTGTCAAGGGAGGCTCAGAACCAGTATTCTCAAATATAACTTCACCTTCTCTGTATTATGATCTCCCCTCGCAAGTCTTTCACCCTTTTCCGATCCTTATTTTTCAGGACGGTCTTCGACTGCGATACAGCACATCAGGGAGGGTGGAAAGTTCGACGATGTCATGCAGAAATCAGCAATACACGCACAATTTCCTTACCATATTGCGTCGTATATTTCGAGGAGACTCTGAAGGCGAGGACACGGTCCGGACTGGACTAAGAATAATCTCGACACTAAAGGCCATTTTGCAGTGAAGGGATAAGACCGGCTGGAATTGGACGTGACAGGGCATGAAGACCTACTCTGTTTGCCGACGCGGCCCTTCTTGAGAGTGTATGCGACGGAGACGAGACCGTAGATGACATCGTAAGTAAGACCGGGGAAGAGGAATAGAGCCAGTGAATGAAAAGTATCAGGATGTTCGCGATGCGCTTTTAGATCCCCTGAATATGTTTTTTCGCCGAAGCTGAACTGAGGGCGTGATCTGACGTCAGACGATAGAGGTATGTCGTAGCTATAGAACGCCCAAACAAAACGTCCATATCGTTCCGTGTTTTATGAGCGGTCAATTGATCTCTTCCGTTGGCCAGTATGCCTGCCCGTCTGATGACGTTAAATCACCCGTGACCAAGTTGCATACCGACACTGACCGCAACGAGATATGTTCGGGGCATATTTGACCAAGATTCGACGGCTCAAAATGCCGGCAAATATGAAGCGTAGTGGTGCGAATATGACTGCAGTGTGCTAAGGGTACGAGCCTGAGAGGCAGCCTGTTCGACTTGACTGAATCTCGAGACTTGCCAGACCGCTGGCAGCACGACAGAAACGAGCAGGAAGCCCACCAAGACGAGTCAAAAGCGTAGACTCGAATCAGCCCCAGCCAAGCACCTGTCTGACTGTGACATAAACAGAGGTTATTCATGAGAGACGACCTGAGGGAGGAATGAAGGTAAAATCGCTTGAACGAGAACAGTCGAAGAAATGTTTCGGAAGAAAGGCGGAGTTTCGTCCAGACCATGATCTAAGGTTAGGGCTTAATTTCGTGCACGTAGTACGTCGGCGTGCTCGCTTCTCTTCAACGCCGTTTACCTCTTCTCCTGTCTTCATCTTTGGCGCTCTTCCTGTCATCATCGATGGCTCTCTCGGTGCTGACGATCCATAAGTCGCGAAGGTCTCCCACAGTGATGGCCCACTGTGTGATGAGATGAATGAGATGAAGTCACCTTCGTCTCGACATCATGCTTTCAACATGACATCACCTGCTCCTCCTCTCATCTCCTGGTGAAGTCATCGAGGCGCGATCCGCTTATATATATAAAGGCATCTCTAGCCGACCTCCGCGCTACCACAAAATCTCTTGAATAACTTTCACTGAAGGCTATCAGTCCAACCTGCTTTGCTATTGATCTTCATACCTCTCATTACCACAATGTCTTCCACCACCTTCGTCGGCAACAAGCCTGTGGACGAGATCCCTTCGCAGGCCACACAACAGCTCTCAAACGAAGAGCTCACGAGGCAGGAGGTACAGAGGCTGAAGGAAGGTGCTTCTGAACCCGGCGCGAACAAGAGGGCTGGTGTGGCGTCGAGAGATCCAGCAGGTGAGTGTTTCCCTCCAAGTTCGGCGGGTCTCGATGCCGTGAATTCGTGCTGAGACACTGCTCTTCGTCACAGAGTTCGACTCCCAAACGCGCTCATCGAATGCACACGGCGATACTAAGCCAGTCCAAGGTACGTCCTTCAATTATACTTCTTGTCTTGTGAGGATAACCACTGACGTTGGGGTCCGTCCAGACCCTGTCCTCTAAATACTGTTGGGACGTGGCGGGGACGCGCTCAAAGCCGCATTTGCTTCTGCACGGTGTATCGATATATTTGTATAGGACTCATTACCAAAGCCTCTTCGCTTACGTGCATCTACCCCTCAACTGGCTTGCTTTTGTGTCATAGTGATCATGGCTTCCACAAGTCGTCGGCGAAGTTGAGACTGCAGCAGTTGAGTCTGAGGCCTGAGGCTGGAGAAAGCTGGAGAAAGACTCGATCGTGTTCTCACTAGTTCTGAGGCTGGCTATGTGCGTGTAGGAAATTGGCCTTACCCTTGCTCAAAATTGTAGTTGCACATATTCCGAAGTCAACTCCGAATCTTCGTTGTTTTTTGTTGGGCTTTAGGAACCGTTTGGAAGTGGGTGGTCAAGTGTGGCGGTGGCAATCGACTTGAAGTTCGGAGTTCCGTCGCTGGCGGAGTTTTAATTAGCGCAGACTGTAACCCTTTTCCACCACTTCCAACTCTCGACACGACTTCGACGAATAACTCGCAAAGCGTTGGTTCTCTCCTTTTGTACGAGCCTCTGTGATAATGACAAGGATAATCTTATGGCTCAGCTTGCATCGCAACAATACCGGCGATGGGCCCGCATCATGGTCGAGACGCCTCCCCGCGTCATTGCCATTTTCAATTTTTTGGCTCCAACGAATACTGCCAACGCCTGGGGAGGCACGACCGAGGTGAATATCGGCATCACCTCTTTCCTCTTACTTTGCTTAGGGCTTGCATCTTGCTGTCTTAGCACATTCCGATGACCATGCGCGCATTGACTGACCTCGCCAGAGGCTGCAGCGAAGGGGCTCCTTCGCCCCAATTGGAAGCCTTGATACTCGCGGGACTAACCGATGCCATATGTACTTGTACACCTAGGATGGACAATCTTGTTCCATCTACTTTTGCCGAGAAACGTGAGGTGCGTAGCCTCACAAGTTATCTGATGTCGCCACTCTGTGCTAAAATTATCTCTCAGCGTGGGTATTCGTCGTACAGCGCGGCCATCGTATTGTTGACCGATATCGTAATCGCGACAAGCGGAACGACCAGGAGCCTCGTTCTAACGTCTTTGAGGTTGCACTGGAAAACTTTGTCCAAGCACGTAGGTCTTCACTTGATAGCATTTTATATCAACACACCATCCTTACTAACTTGCGGGACTGTCCATAGCTCTGGGACCATCCGGAACTATCCTTTGAATCTGAATCCAAGTTCGTTCCAGAACGGATGGTCCTAGCTGTTTTACTGCAAGAGATTCTCCAACGAGACGTGTCCTTCGTGAGGTACGCTGCATTTACGCTGCATCCCCGCGCAGGATAGCTCTTTGAGATACGGCATCGTTTGCAGTATCGTCGATCAATGCTATTGCACCATTCCACTCCTCACCCGCAATCTTGCGCACGCCATCGAGGACGACGACTTCTTCACAGAGCTACTCGGCAACATCGTCTACCCAAAACGGTCTTTCGTAGCAGATTTTCGTCCACGAATCGAAGGCCTCCAGGAGTATCGGGAGGCCCATCCGATACCCGGAGACATCCTCGAAAAGGTCTCCAAAGGCGACGGTGATTACGACAAGTTGTTCAATAAATCCACCACGATATTCCCGAAGGCCACACCGGATAGCATGCTCAGTGCTATCCATCTTCTTTTCTCCCTCTACTCCATCGCGAAGAATGATCAACGCCGAAGCGCAAAGGCGTACGTGGCCAGCGCCCATCGCTCCTCTGCGCACTGGAAGGCCCTGTTCCAATGTGCCCGCGACAAGGAAGACGATATGCAGCTGGCCGTCATGAGATATGCGACTGAAATCGTCTCTTCGTGTGCTGTGCAAGACTCACCGGCCGAAAGCGAAGTATTGATGAAGATTTGGCTAGATTCGGATCTTCTCGCTGCGCTCGAGACATCGCTCTGGCTTCACACCTCAACGCACATTCTCCCTACTGCGTTCCTCTTTTTTATTGTCTCGCCTTTTTACGCTTTATGATCATGTATCCACCCATAGCGATGTGTGCCAGAATCGTTCGAGAGTTACATACAATCTTCTCCCGGTATACCTCCCTTCTTCCCCTCATTCGTCCTCACATGCCCCGACCTCGTATTCTCCGTCCGCTTATTACCTTAGGTATGACGGACCTGCGCTATGTCTTCCCTTCCGCTGGTGATGGAGGAAACCGTGAGGAGATAGCTGACGCGAAATGGGGATGGAGGTCCTGGTACGCTTTGGAGAAAGCTTGTCGTATCGAAGGACATTGTTTGCGGAGCGGATGCGGAGACATCGCCCAAAGCCAGTGCGGGGCGGGCAAGGCAGCGCAGTATTGTGGGTCGATATGTCAAAAGAAGTTAGTAATTTCTTTGTTCCATGTTTTGCGGCGTACAGGAGATCTTACAGGGAGAATTTTCAAGGGATTGGCCGGAGCACAAACTTGTGTGCGGATTCGAGACCGACGAGTTCGATAAGCTGGCGTTCGGTGCACTACCGACACAGCTACGCGCCCCGAGACGACTACCCTTCAAGCTAGACTTGGCAGCTCACGAGCGTCAACTTAAGGTCGGTAAATCCCTAAACAAATACTCCATGTCGGTTCTGACATGCGTGCTGGACTTACGTAGGAGATATCTGCTTTGGACTGGGGTAGCGTCGAGGCTGGCTATCGTCCAGTGGGATATCCTATACGCCCCATACTTTGATGGATATCGCTTTCCGTCCCCTCTCTGCTACTATTCGCTATGCACGATGTCGGACCCGAAGCGGCAGTTGATGGATGTTCCAGTGGCAACTGACAGCGAGTGACTGGTGCGTATTAAAACGAAAATTTCGGCACAGAATTAGTTAGTGGATGTGTCGAACGAGTGTACCTTAGGCTGTCCAGCAGTTTTCCACCGTCCTCACATAATCATCATTGTCTCATGGCTTATCATAGATTAGAGGAAATCCTCGCATTTGATGATATTCCAATAATACATGAAAACAGACACAAGGGTCACCTTTCTAGATTTCAACGATTATTGACTTGTTCCTCGAGCCAAGCCCATAGCTCCTCTCCACGTTTCGGATCCTGGGTATCGGTCCGTGCCTTCCCCAGACGAGCCCAAGGTATCAGATACTACCCAAGAAAGCTCCAAATTAGCCTCCAGGACCCGTTGGGACGATAAAAGGAGTGAGGATACGTACTTTTCCGTTGTAGTCGGCCGCTTCCTCCGCGGTACCAGCGTAAAGGTGGGTAAGAATACCGTTCGGAAGCACCGAATGAAGCATCCAATCGACCTTCGACCATTAAGCGCCACACAGTCTCAGAGTGGTCGAAGGGGAAAAAGTAGCGAAAAAACGGCGACGCACGATTACCCGCTGCCACCCGGCCACCTCTTTCTGCAGATTCGTCTTCAAGTTCCCTGGGTTCATGGCGATAGAAACGAGTCCTTGGTCACCATACCTTCTCGCCAACTCTCTCGCGAAGACGACCGAAGCGTACTTGCTCTGTGCATATAATGCCTGAGTGCCAAGTCTTCGTCGCTCGGGTCCGTCTTTGAGCGTGGCGTAGTCGATATCGTGTAGATGGTGGGCACCAGAAGAGACGGTCACGATCCGAGGCTTGTTGTATGACCCAGGTTCGAGTGTGGCGGTGGCGAGAAGGGTGGGAAGAAGTAGTTTGGTGAGATAGAAATGACCTGGGTAAGTATCGGAGTGAATAGAGAAGATATGAGTAGAGTGAGCGCGATAGGTACAATCGCGACCGTTGCTCACCTAGAACGTTGGTTCCCATCTGAAGGTCGTATCCTTGGGCAGAAAGCTGCTCCATCGGAGGTATCATAACACCACTGGATGTCGAAAGACAGCCTCAATACAGGCCTATACGGATAATCTCAGGAATTGATCATACGCGGAGTTGTATAGAATGTCGAGCCGTGTCTCGTTCCTGTGGTTTCAAAGTTCTAGGTCAAAAAAGGGAGTACGAAAAGAGCAGTAAGCACACACCTCAAGAACTCTTCAGCACCCGTGCGTACTGAGTCGAGGTCGGCCAAGTCTAGGTGTAGGAATTTAGCCTCGCGTCCATTAGTGTCCGCCTTGATCTCTTCGAGCGCAATTACAGCTCTCTCCTTGCTACGGCATGCCTAAGTGGCGTAAGTAGATTATAACTAGAAGGGCGAGTAGCACTTACTATATACACAGTAGCATTTCGCGATACAAGGACCTACAAGGTGGCGAGAAAAGATCGATTTCGGCGAGTGGACATATGACCGTGGAGGCGTACCTTCGTCAGTTCGAGACCAAGACCAGAATTCCCTCCTAAGACAATCCGGAATAAGTTTGCGAATACCAAAAAATATATGGATATAAACATACCTGTGACTATAATGACCTTTCCCGTGAGATCGGGAACATCCTCGGTAGTCCACGTTGGCTTTGGAGGAAAGCTTTCGTTAGCCATCATAACCACGAAGTCCCAAAATTTGCCCATAGCGATTTACGACAGTCTAGCTGGTATGTGGAGGAGCGGAAGCGGGCGGGTTCAATCAAGGCGACTCATATAAAACAAAAAACAAGTTCGGGCGGCAAATCAGGGTTGCGGCGATCAGTTTCCGGAATCCCGCCGATTTGAATACGACTCCAGAAAAATGACCATGATAAAGCATCGAAAAAAACATGCACATGTCGCTTATAGAAGGTAAAACTACAGTAGCTTGAAAACTGTAGCTTGGCTTGTCCTCTTAATTTAACTCAGGCTTCTTCCAAGCCGTAGTATAAGTGGGAAGTCCATCTCCTTGACCGACCCTCCACGCCTCGTGATAAACACCGATTCCATCTCCGAGTCCCATCTTCTTGGGGTGCCACCCGAGCAGGGCTTTGGCCATGTAGGGACGTAGTAGGACAGAGGTCATTAGGGCTTCCTCGAGCACTGGATTAGCACATCGAGGGCAATACATCAGTAAATATCTGTGTGATCGTTCGAAGGAGATGATGGGGCGGTGAAACACGTACGGTTACCCGGTTCGACACGCTCGATGGTGCCCTGCTCACCAGTAAGCAGAACCATCAACCTCTGGAGAACATCGTCGTAACTCTCCATCATGTCGTTCGTCGCATCAAATATCACCCCTCCGACCAGAGCCGCCTTCCTCATCACCTTCACATACATCTCAGCCAGATCATCGACATGGATCGTTGACATCCTCATCCCGGGCTTGCCAAACCACTGCACGCTGCCCTTCCTCGTCCCGTTAGCCGCGTCCTCCTCGATCTTCACCTTACCAAAGAATATTCCCGATGTCGAGCCCGACCTTCCGTAAACCAGTGATGGGCGTATCACGATCCCGTTGAGCGCCGTACTCTCTACTACCTTCCGCTCGAACTCCGTCTTGAAAACGACGAGCGGGGAACCAGTCGCATGGGGAGAGCTATCGGTGACGATGTCGTCGCTATTGCCGTGCACGATGGTGCCACTGGTGTAGACGTATGTGAGCTTCGGCACATGGGTAGGTCGGAGCTCGTTGACAGCGTTTGTGACGAGTTTGAGAAGGGTGGGCCCGGTCTTCCATGGTTCGGTGCCACCGATACACTCGATCACGGCGTCGATGGTAGCGATGATTGAGATCCAGGAGGAAGGGTCATAAGGGTCGCCGACGATGGGGATGACTAAAGAGAGCATGAATAGAAGGAATAAATTGACGAGGAAGGAAGTTGTTGGCTCATATGGGAATGTTATCACATAGACTGGACGCACTTTCAGCAGATTTGAGTTCCTCGACCTGAGATGACTTGCGAATCAAGCCGTACACAATATAACCTTCACGTGTGAGGGCCTGAGCTACTGGTCCACCGATGAAGCCTGTGACGCTATATGGACGGAGGACGTCAGAGCTCTGCAGTGGAGACCCAAATAAAGGAGCCGCACCCGAGGACGAGGACCTTCATGTCTGTACGGGAAACAAGTGAAACTGTTTAATGGGTAAATCTCGGACAAGAAAGATGCTCGAGGATGGAGAATGGTTTCGAAGTTGCGAGCGCACCTTTATATGAGGACTGAAGACATATCCATGCCCGTCCACATCAGCAAGACCGCATTTGGCTAAACCTAACTATCTCGGTCTATTCGGTCTACCGGTAGACACAAATAGACCATTTGACAGTATCTATTCTCGTCTATTCTTCTTAGACCTGCCTTCTGGGAGGCACAAGATAGAGTGCGATAGAGCATAATAGATCACTTCATTTTTCTCGTAGAGCACCAGATAGAGCACGATCTCCTTCATACTTATTGACCAGTTTGACTGGTAAAAGCTATATTGCTGATATAGAACAAGCTATGTACATACATGAGACGAGACTAGCACATCACAAAGGAACATGATACTGTATCCGAGTCGTTATGCTAACGGAATCCCAACTCCTGCCTGGCAGCTACAGATTTGAGGACATGTAAGACCTATCGCGCACGAAACTCTCAGTCCTCCAATGCGCACTTGGCTCCGCATACAGCAGTCTCCTCATGGATTGCCCTGAATCTTGACAGTTTCCCGTGTTGAGGGGTCAAAGCTCGGGAGCTGTAGTTATATATGCATGTGACGAATGAAGGGGTACGTAGAGCAGATGAAACGGTAGAGGTGGAAACGAAGGGAGAAGAGAGAAGGGGGAGGCGTACCGAACTGTCGATGTACGGAGCTGAGCACTACACCGATCAAATAGAGATAGGAGCATCACCTACGCAAGATACATCACCAAGCCCGGAGCCCATGAACAACACACAATACGAGCGAGAGGAATCCTAAAGGCGAAAGAGATAAAATTAGTATGTGTCCGTCTTACACCCACGGGCGCCAGAAGAAGCGAAGAACGAAAAGCACAGAAAAAAGGCCGAGGCCAGAGTGAGCCGCTACGACCACCGCCAACAATGACGATGACCATCCGAGAAGAGGCGAAGATACACATGGAAGAGATAAAATGATTCAAGGTAAAGAACGGGGCTCACCGACAATGTACCATGGTGCCACGAGCCAGTCAAGCTGCCTAGCGAATAGACCGATGCCCCGCCCCTCGGCCAGGACTCATATACTTACACGAACATCATCGAGGCGTGTCAATATGGTTTAGATTAACTGAAGCAGCGGGGCTACTCACGCGCATCGCACGAACATCCTTTCGTACCGCTATCTCGAAGGCCGGCAAAGTGTGTTGAGGTTGCCAGGCGGGCTGAGGACGGTGTAAAGCTAAACGGACGTCATACAAAAAGTTGTATCAGTTGAAATGCAAGTACTCGGAAACGTGAGTGGTCATGCAGGTGAGGTTTCGAAGACGGACCTAAGAGAACTTTCATCATTCTTGCGATTCACGAATTGGGTCATCTTTGCGGAGGCCGGATGTTTTTGAACCTAAGCTTCGGCTCTCATTGATACAAAATCAATACCTATACAAGAAATGGAGGAGATGAAGAGGTATTAAACGGTAGAAAGGGAACAGGGAGGAAAGCGAGGTGAAGGGTAGAAGAGGATGAGGAAGAGAAGGCTAGAGGGCCGTGAAACGCCAAGGAGCCGCGATGCGTGAGAGCGATCAACGCTCAACGAGCTCACGTGGTAATTTAGGGCAGGCCTTGCATCCCATCGCGCTCGCGCGTTCCTTGCTCGCCACAACATTTTGGTTTCTCTTGCGTTCTCTCTTCCACGACTCAGATGTGCTCACTACATCGTCGATTCGTTTGTCCGCCTCGGCACACTGATATGATACTCCGTATTTGCATAGGCTGGAGAGCCGTCAGAACACGAGCAGAGTCATGAGGGAATGGAAGATGTGAACCCGGACATGTGAGTGCCTTCGTAGGTGCATACACCCTTTTCTACCCTGCCATTCGTTTTCCCCAATCGCGGCTGCTTTGGCTTTGGACACTGCTGTGTAGCCTATGATCGCATTCCGGTCGGTATCGTAAAGCATTCATCGTGGGCTGGTAACAGCCAGGTCGGACAAGAGGGCAGTCGCAGGAGATGAGCTCACGGACGTTTCCCTGCAAAGTACTCGCTGGCTTTCGTGTATTCGAACGCTGCAGGTTGATCGAGTGTCTAATCATGTACCCAGTATATGTAGCCATACCGTAGATACACAAGCATAATTAGCAGTGCCGGCAGTGGTGTGCACCCTGAAGCTCCTCGAACCGGGGCATTTGCGGGGTTGTAGCACTCTATTCAAGCTCCCGCAGCTACCGAAGCCCGAATATCTACCAAGCTCTACAGGCGCCCACGGGCATAGAGCGAAAAGACCGGTTAGATCGGAATAGACCGAAAAGTTAGATTTAGCCAGATGCAGTCTTCCTGATGCATTGGTACAGATGAATACACGCTAGATCTCCAACATTGCTGACTGATCTATTTCCGCGGAGTCGTCTACAATAGCAACGAAAGGGGATGAGTAAGCATTTCAGATTCTTCAGTGTAGATAACAAGGCGAAGCAAGCCGAGGGGGCGAGTTTCTCACCAGCCAAGCCATAAACACAGTCCATTTTGGCTTACAAAGCCAACCTTGGCCCATCGGAATGTAGTGGATCACGAAGAGGGAACGCATTCAAAGGCTGGCTTACCAAGCTGGTTCCATAGTAGTGATGACTCGGATGTGAATGTAGGCATGTCTCTGCGAGACACCGCAGGCCTATACGTGAGAGTACTACTTATAACAATTTTAGCGGACGAAAGCACCCAAGTACTACAAGCAGTCAATGATAGACTGAAGAGGGGATAAAGCAGAATGGAGGCAGTGGGAGCCTGGGACGCGACTTTCAAAGTGGTAACTTTTTGCAGCCTCGTAACACCGAAAAGGGGCAGGTGGTTGTAAGTTGCGGAGGGCGCGAGCTTGAACGACCAGTCGTTGTTTGTACTTGTTGAATCTAGAAGCCTTCGCCCTCCGGCCGTGTTCCGCACTCCTGACCCCCATGAACTTATCCGAACATTTATCCTGTGGAAAAATGTGCGGTTAAGTATCAAGTTTTTCGCCGCGTTTGCCTGATTGTTCAAGTGGGGTTAATTGAGACGTTTACCTTAAGTTTAAAGTCAAAGTTTTTGGTTTATGTATCGGCTTATTAAATGACCTATTCAACTCATGTTTTCATTCAGCGTAATCAACGTACTAGTTTGAAATTTACCCTGCACGAAAAAATGCGTTAAAAGTGTATTTAACTCGTCTTCTTACTCGGGATAAGGATATCATTTATTGCAATTTGATAACCGCATAAATGCGTCATTTACCGTAACTTCAGCAGTGGGTAAAATGTGTCATTTATCCTCATTTACGCCTCACTTGAATGATCTACTTACTGAGAGGAGCAATGCCGTGGTATAATTGACATTTATCCTGACTAATCTAAAAAGGAGTCCCTACTCGATCTGTAGACCCATGAACACCACAGGACCGCACTGACCGTACATGATTCTGAGCCTGTGTGACCGTCGACCGTATCACACTCACGGCTCTCGCAGGCCTCACTAATCTCACAACTCTTGAGGGCAGACAAACGGGCGATAGTAATGGTTACCCGGAGGTTGTGCTCTCGAGGCTGACACCAAACTTGTCCTGGAAGAGTGATTTCTAGATAATGGCCACGAAAATGGTCATGGAAATGAAGTATCATTGAACGCCAATCAAGCAAGGAGAAAGAGATAAGTACATATACACATGGCCAGGTAAAGATCCTCAGCAACGGCGTAAGCGAAAATATCCGCCATATTTTAGTTATCCGGTGTCATCGAGGGCAAGACAAAGTCAACAGAAATGGGCGTGATGATAAGGAACGTGAATCGCGGGAAATGGAACTTGTAGCAGAACGTGAGGATGGCGAAGCAGATAACAACATGGATAGTGACAGGCAGGTGTAGGCAGAGTAGTTACACATACAGTAGAGGATGGCACGAGAAGCGTGAATACCGTGGACGATGGTGGCGAAACCGGGGTACTTGTGGCCGGTCTCCTTCAGGATAGCGAGCTGGTCATCAATATCTATCGTGACCTTGGAACCGAGAGCAAGATGCCATCCATAAACGCCATGGAGGGGATTGAAGATGACGAATAGACCTAATCTTCACCGTTGACATCCTCGCAGGCGACGGTAAAAGTACAGAAACCACTGATAGAGAACTCCTCGACGGCGTGCACGAGCTGGTCCTCCTGCCCCTCGGTCTTATTACGAGAACAAAGCTCGTTGATGACACCGGTCATACTCTTGGTGGCCCGCCTAAGCTTGCCGGACGAATACTTGCAGTAAGTGATCTCGGTGCACTTATCGACGTAGTTGAAGGCCTTCAAGTCGAGGAGCTTGATGCAAGCGTGAGCACGCTCGACGTCAAGAGGACGAGAATACTTCAAGACCTTCACGGTGAGAGAAGCAGAAGCCAGCGAGGAGGGAGTAAGTCCCGAATAAGTGTATCCAGATCGATCGAAAGAGAAGAAAAAGATGAAACGAAACGAAACGAAACGAAACGAAATAGAAAGGAACGTACCGGGCGGCGAGAAAAGTCCCACATTCTACATTTGCTCCCTTCCCTTAGCCCCGCATTTCGAGCCCTCACTGTCCTCCCCCTCCAGATAGTCTTTAACCGACAGACGCGCGTGCGTATGCGGACGCACTCGAAGGAGAGTGACAGAAAGCGGTGGTGATCGCTCGGTCCCTCAATCTGGCCCGAAACGGACATTGTCGACGTGTCGTGGGTCGCATCGACAGAACAGAGGACTCGGGCACGGGCTATGATCAGGCCAGCAGTTGAACGGGTGGAGCCAGGAGCGGCAAGAGTAACGAATGAGGATTACACGAGGGAGGGTGCCGGCGAGAGTGTTGGTACGCCTCGACGGGCGCTTAGCGTCGTCGCCGTTGCTGATCGCGAGCCGGACAGGCTGATATCCTTTCAGGAAGTTCAGGAGGTGAGGGCGGGGGTTGGAGAGGAGCCACGTGAGTGAGAGCGACGAGGGTGAAGATGCTGGCAAAAGTGCTGGCAGTAAGCAATAGAAAACAAGGATGACAGAGGAACGTAATCTAAGTGAACACGTCGACGTTAATAACCCGCTCTCAAGTCATATGATCTCGTTCTAGCGTGATCTACGAATATTGAAGGGAGCCCATCCAGAAGAAATAAAGAGGAAAGGAGACAAGAGGAATGTAAAAACACACCGCTATGAGGCGAAAGACCCGAACGACGGGTGGCGAGCATTGCTGACACGTCGTATGACGAAAATAAACGAAAAGAGAAGGAAAAGACTGTGAATAAAACGTACAAGCACCAGAGGGACTATAAAAATTGGGGAGTGTGACTGTGTAGTAGAGAAAGCTGCGTACATTTGTTTGTTTGAATGGCTATTTTCATCTCATTGTCGTCGTCCCAAAATAAACACTCACTTGCTCTGGTACACATCTGGCGCCCGTCGACGCATCGTGGGTTCTACATAGACTGAAAGGGAAGGAAAATAGTAAAAAAGGAACGAAAACGAAAAGAATGAAACGACATGAGACGAAACGAAACATAGTAGGTGGCAGAAAACCCCCACGTTCTCTATCTGCTCTTTGAGCACTGCATTTCGAGCACTCCTTCCTGTTTCCCCGTCCCAGACATCCTCCAGATAGTCATGAGCCGACAAGGGCACCTGCGTATGCGGATGCACTCGAAGGCGAGCAACGGAAAGCAGCGAGTATCGCTCGGTCGCTCGGTTTCACTCGAAAACAGACACGGTCGATGTATCGTTAGTCGCGTCGACTGGAAAGAGGACGTGTGTACGGGCGAGGAGGAAGGCTGAGGGAGACGATGGTGGCACGAGGGCGACGCGCGACGCGCGTTGTCATCTACAACGAGTGCGGATGATGACGCCGAGCGCCCGATGACTCCAGGTGCCCGGCGACGTGTCCCGCTCGCGTTGAAATTCCTCGCGGTGAGTGATCACGGCACGGTTATTGATGGGCTCAAAGCCAAGGAGCTCGAGGCACGGCCAAAGACGAAGTGTCAATGGCGCCTTTTGTTTATGGCACAGTAAGTGTCGGTAGCGAGCAGGAGGACGTCATCGACGGAGAAGGGGCCGTAGGTCTTGATAGTGCTGCGGTAGATGGCGAGCTTTATGGTGGTCAACGTATTGGTCTGGGTGACAAACAAGGCAGTGGGCATGGCTATGAGGAAACCACCGATCGAGGGGACAACGACGATCTTGTCAAGACTTTCACGCTGAGTAGTTCGGAAGCCCCCGTAGAGGACAAGGATTTCAGCGACGGCGAATTTATCGATGGCGAGGAGACACAACAAACCGATCTGGACCAGATGCTCCTGACCGAAGAAAATGTGAGGGCCGGTGGAGATAACGACACTCTCGGGCTTCACCGTGACCATGCATGCAGGTAGGGCTACTGAAGGGAATGGATTGGCATACGATACAATGACTTCGAGGCGGAGTGGACGTACGAGTAGGAGGGTGCACGGTGGGCGCAAATGCGGACTGTGCACGAAGCGCGAGCGCGAATATGGAGGGGAGAAGCTACATCGACCGTTGCCCAAGGACCCGAAAGGGTCAAGCAAGTACACGTTCGTTGTACACTCGGGTGGGCTGGGACTTCTGGGAGGGCCTGTGAAGTGATGCCCGGAGGGGAGGGAAGGGGATATAAGCATCAAAAGTGTGTTAGTAAACAGATAAACGAATGCGCGAATATAGGGAGTGAAAAATAGAGATGAACACGAGAGAGATATGAATTGAACATAGACCCGTCTTCTGAGGCCCTGAGACGGAAGTGAAGAAGTTCGAAACGGGTGCCTACAACGTATCGCGGGATGTTCAACATGTCTGCGAGGAGAGCGGGGGTGCGGAGGTGAGAATGAGAGTGCTATTTCGAGAGCGAGCGCCGCCCGCTTGCTCTAGAGTCAGAAGAGTGCCGCCGATACCATCGTCCCACTGACACGTCAACGATACAGTAAACGGGTGTGCAGGTGGAAAACAAGAGCGAGAGCGAGCAAGGCTTGCTCGCTCTTGTGCGAATAGGCACCCGTTGACGCATTGTAGGCTCCACAGACATGTCGGCAGTGAGGGAGGGGCCGGATAGAACAGATAAGACGACCTCTCCTGTATGACGGAGATGGGTCGCAAGACCAAAAGGCGACGAAAAAGAAAAGAAAAGAAAGAAAGACCGAGCAGAAACGAAACGAAATAGAAAACGGCGTACCGACAGCGAAAGAACCCAGAGCACTGGCACAGAAAGTCGAACTCCTTCTGACTTTCTTCACCGACTACTTCAGACCTTCTTGACCGATGACTTTCTAACCGTCCGAATACCCCTTCTCCACCCCAATTTGACCATTCCAAGATTTACTGGCGTTTCGGTGAGCGTTTCGGTGAGCGTTTGCGAGAGGGCACGAACTAGGATGGACCTAAGCTGAGGAGCGTCAAGCTTCGGTCACGGTCTTTGTAACTCTTCTTGAAAGGGAGGAGGGCACGCACTGAATACAAAGTGACTGGTCGAAGGTGGCGATAGTATTGTCGAAGATGAGGTTCTACACAAAAGGTGGGGTCGTGGCTCCGCGCCGGAAGACGTCTTCGGTGGCGACAGTGAGAGGCGCAAGTTCGGACCAAAAGACATTTTCAGAAGATGCTCGGACGAGAAGGAGACACGCCCGGACGAAAAGACATCTCCAGGAGACTCGTTCGGACAAAAATGACATCTCCCGAAGATGCGTTCGGATGAAAAGACGTCTCCAGAAGTCCCGTTCGGACAAAAAAGACGTCTCTAACATCTCCTTTCGGGCAAAAAGACACCCCCGCATTCTTCACCCAGATGAACTTGCACTGTCACGCTCTGTCGGCTCAGACGGGCCAGAGCTTCTATAAACATTAAAGCAGACAAATCACCCGCAGACGTTGAAGTTGAAAGATGCGTAACGGATTCACGCTGGACGTTGAAGAGAAGACGCCTCTGAAGTCGTGGTTTTGCGCAAAAAAGACGTCTCCGAAGACGTGGTTCTGCGCAAAAAGACGTCTCTGAAGCTGTGGTTTCGCGCAGAGAGACGCCTCCTGCCCTCCTTACGGACAAAAAGACATGTTCGGTAACTTCTGGCGGTCAAAAAGATGCTTCCCTCGCGTCCGACCGGACAAAAAGTCGCCTCCGACGAAAGAGAAGATGTCTCGAGCGAGTCTCAAGCGTCTTTCTCCTCGCTACCTCTCAAGTCCAGCTCGAGTTTGACCTCGCAAGCACAACTCTTGAGGGTGTAGCAGAGCATTAAATATTTCTTGATGCAATGGTCGGCTCAAGAGGAGGGAGCATAGAGGACTGAATCCATGCAAAGGATGGTCAAGAAGAGGGGAATCCGCGTGAAAAGAGCAGCGAAGACGCGAATTAAATAGAAAGTGGTTCGAAGACGCAGTTCAGCGCGAAAAGACGACTATGCTCTCCCAGAAGTCGGAAGGGATGGGCGTTCGCGCACACTGACACCAAACTGACACCGCACAAAAGACGACACTCGAAAGGTGATTCTTCACAAAAGTGAATTGGCCTCAAGCCAGTCAACAAAGATCGTATCTTTTTCTATCTATTGATGCACAATAGACATGTCGCCACACCAGAGCAGATCCCAGAGACGTGTTTTGATGCAAGAGATGGCAGAGGAGACGAAGATCAGCAGAAAAATGTCGTGAAGGAGATAGGAATCCGCGCGAAAGACGCCTGCGAAGACGTGCCAATTTCAACTGAAGGCACATCCGTCGAGTCTCTTCTCAGTCTTCCACACAATCTATGAGAGGTGAAGGAATGGACAAACGACAGGAGGAGTCTGAGAAGGCTACACCTGTACGTCGCTCAGTCTACATTCCTTATCGATATCCTGTCCTCGATACTGGGATAGTTCACTCTCTACTCCGACTCTGTTCTATGCATTCACGGCATCCCGTCTTTCGTTTTGACATCTCCTTCGCATACGACCATCTTATTACCTTCCGATTACTTCTCTTGAGGCCGTTTCCAGCAATTCCTACTACCTCTGGTTGGTATGTCGTCGTTTCCTCTCCCTTGTCATATCTTCGACACCTTCCTCGCTGACACTGGTATCTCTTCTGCAGAACCCCCTCCGCCGCTCTCCAGCTGCTCGTCGCATGGATACACGCACTTCTATCTTGTCTTTAACCTCAAAATACTCCAGTCTTGTGACTCAATATATGCATCATTCAGTTCTTGACCACGGACAGCTTCACGTGAGCTTCACGATCCTAAATGCGGTGAAGACATCAGACGTTGGGTTAGAGGATCCAGAGGAAAGACGTGGGGTAACACAATTATTGGAGGTCAAACTATGTACGTGGCTCCACTTTCCTCTATTTCGCATCACTTCTTCGAAGGGGTGTGGACGTACATCGAGAAGAGCGTGATCTAGTTCAAGGCCATACCAGCGGAGACTTGTTCTCATGAGGCTTGTAGGGTCTATCCCCCGTCTTTGAGGGTATAGAGGCGCATGTCTCGACCAAATCTGTATCATTTCGAATGCATAGAAGTACGGTTGATTGGATGGGACCTCGGTCTCAAATCATCTTATCTTTCTGTACCTCTGCGCTTTTGGTGACGACAGAGACTCGTAAAGCGCAGAAGGCACTTGGGTTTACCGTTATGGCACATATGCGTGGATGCAACTCGTCGTCGAAGACGTTCACTATCGCCACCTACCATCCACTACATTTCTCCCTCCCTGCTTCGCTGTACACTTAGGACTGACACTGGTGATGCTTTCAGCCATCACCCTCACGCCCGTCACCTTATTCAATCAACCCCACCACCGTCTACCCACCATCCGCAACAACAACATCGCCCTTCAGTTTACATCTCGAGTCCTCTAATACGACGCCAAGATGGATATCCGGAACGTTTGAACGGTGGTCGTCCCATGACGTGCACCCGCCGTGGCTCCCACTACGATGTCGAGTGCGAACTCGATACAGTCAGTACCGAAGGCTAGCTCGAAATTGTCGCAGGTCGCGAGGTCGATGTTGGCTGGTGATGCCGCTGCTGCTGTTAGTGAGAATGGCAATGGAAAGGTAGACAACAGGGTATGTTTGCCTTTCATTTCTTTCAATCATGGTCCTTTTGGTTCCGATCTACCTTAACGGGCTGCGTGGCGTGATGAGGGTTCAGTGTGGGTCGTGCACGTTGGACTTGGTGGGCTCGTCGTTGTCACTGTTTAAGCTTGACCACGGCGTGCATAACTTAGGCTTGTTCTTGGGCTGGCATTTGCTGATAATTGACGCGCAATGTGCCTCCGATGGCCTTGTGCCGGTCCTCGTGGGTCTCCATACGGGTGCTCTCATTCCCGTGCACTCCAACATCAGAAATTGCTGCAAACTTTGCTTGACCACGTGTGACATGCGTGAGTCGCTAGCAAATGGATGTATGGACCGCTCACGAAGGGTTGCGTGGGTTGCTAGCGAAGGGATGCGTGAGCTCCTAGTTAGCGATGAGACGCATGAGATGCTAGTGAAGGCAGCATATGCTCTTCGCGCGCGAGGGCGTGAGTCCTTCTCTTTTTGCCCCATTTCACTTCGTATGATTTGCTTGTGGCTATGGTGTTTGAGCCTGTGTGACTCGAGGCATGAAACCTGGCCGGTTGCTCCGATCCTCGTCGTCTATGCCACGCACGGACAGCCCACCACAATGCTCGCTACATTCGTGCGTGTGTGTGTGCCAATACAGCCTGCTGATCCTCCCGTTCCCACAGATACGCAAACGGACGGTCTACTCAAGTTTCTACCTGGACCACCTCTTCCGCTACCTCTTGTTCTTCACAATCTACTTCCTCTCCGTTTGCCCCTCCGACAATTCCCTCGATATCGTCTTCATCTACTTCAAACTCGTGCTCGGCCCCTACGACCGCCCTTCGCTCAACAGCGCCTACCATGCCCTAATCACCCCCTGTCGACGCGCCAAAAGTCGAATAGGCAAGATCGGCGTCGGACAAAGCCCTCTTCGTGGCGGATAAGGTCTTGGAGAAGACGACACCGGTGGACAGCCTAACCTGCGATTTGGCAAGTTAGAATCGTATCGGAGTAGGAAAGCAGGATTCTGCCGGTGTACGACAGACACGTCGTCTCGAAGTTCGTGTATCGCGCGACGTGAATCGTCGCGTCCAATATCGATACTTTGTCCGGTGAGTACCGCCCTGTCGCACTACCACCACTTCGCACGACCCTGCATCCACACCCTAGCGCTCAAAACACGTGAATACACGTTGGAGGGCTATCGGCTTGCGCATCACATACGTGAAGAGCGCGCCGGGGGTGAGAGAGGCGTGGGTCAGGGAGGCGTGGTGTTGAAGAGGAGGTGGGTGGATCCGTGGGTAGAGAGGATACGGGAGGTGGCCGTGGAGTTGAGTGGGACGGACAGGAGGGAGGAGCAGGTGTCTCAGCGCAGAGTGCGAAAAGTATGGAGGGGGGCCTAAAATGAAAGAGGAAGAGGACGGAGGCGAGGTTGAGCATGGTGTTGGTGGTGTTGGTGGTGGAGGACTCGGAGCCGGAGGAGACTTGAAGCACGAGTGTGATCGAGATGGTGGAGAGCATAGCGGAGAAAGCAGGGGCACGCCAGTCGAGGCTGTCTTTGCGTCTGTGGAATCTGTGATTGAGGAAGTGCCCACTGATCAGGGTCGTCGGCGAGTGGTGCTGTGGCTGTTGAAGAACCTACACCCTCATCCGCGCCTGTCGCCACCGCCACATCCTCATCGTCATCCTCGGTTCAAGCTCCCGTATGTACCCAAGTGCCTGTCCCGCTGTCGTTAACCTCATCCCTCGTTGCCGATGCGCCTGAATCAAAAACCGTTCCTCTACGGCATATGCCCCGCCTCCCTCCGATGATCTGACGGAGGAAGATATGATGAAGAGGGGTGATCGGACGAGGGAGAACGTTATGAAGTGTACGATGGTGTGGAAGGCGATGTTAGAGGACGGTATCAGGGTAGGTTATGGTCGTCTCCTGGTCGCATTGCAGAGGATTAGGAAAAAGAGTAGAACTGTAGGTGGTGCGGGAGAGAGGATCAGAAGGAGTGTAGAAGTATTAGTGAGCGAGGAGAGACTTGTGGGTGAGGCGGAGAAGTGCTTAGCAATAGAGGAGAAGACTCGCTTTGTCTCCGGTAGCATTCTTTTGCTGTGACCGGTGCAAAGCACATTCTATTCGTCTAAGTTTGTTGGGCCATGGCATTGGCAGAGCACCTGCTCAACGGGCCTCCAAGTTCCAGCAAAGAAAATGTACATCTACTGGTTTTCGTGAAGGGAAAATGGACCTCGACGATACCGCGTAAATGTGTTGTTTACCGGCATCTTTGTACTGGGTTTGAGCGTACAATATTGAGTCTCCATAAATATCGAACTTCTCCGTGTTTTCGTGTACGTAAAATGTCTGTAATATGATACGTTTGTCCCACCTCATGGGTGTGGATAAATTTCGAATATTCCGTGGTTCATCCGGCAGATAAACCCTTCGATGGTAGATGACCCATTTGTTTCTGAATTTAACCCGTGTAAAATCGTCAAATTTACATGGCCGGTAAAGTAGTGCAAACTTTGCATATATTGGTTCTACAGCGGACGGATAAATTTCAAATTTAAGGAGCCCGAAAACCCATGCCAAATCGGTGGTTAAAGTTAGTATTTAACTTCCCCATTTTACTGAGTGCTAAATCTGGGTTAAATTGTTGGGGGTCAGGAGTGCCGGTGGATGCGGCACGAGTAGCTATATTTAGCACAGGACGCAGGAGTTCGCACTCGGCCGCCTGTAGCTCAGCGCCCAACCTTCATCACAACATGTACAGTTTCGCAGACTCCTCGCTGAACAATGAACCAGAAAGAACCTCGGCTTGGCTCTCGTGCTTAAAATTGGATTCCGAAATACTCGTACAAACTCATCTCATCCACGGATACGACGACTACGCCGAACTGGACAGCAACACGATGTCTCAATGATGGATATTCACGAATGGGTAGCGCGAGCCATGCATCTCTTTGTGTGGTGTCAGCTTGCGAGCTCGTGAGGATGCAACTATTGTGAGGTTCGAAGCACTCACTGCATCAGTTGTAGCCACCCCTTCCGTCGCTCTCCACTGGATGAAAACCGTGTGAGCGGATGGAAAACGACTCATAGTGCTAGCGACTCGTGTATACTCACAGTCGGTTCTCCTATTGTAACCACCCCTTCCGTCGGTCTCGACTATACAGAAGAATAAGTGTGAGTAATGCGCCTGAAATGCAACGACTTGCTACTGACGCTCAGATCGTTTGTTGTAGCCACCTCTGCCGTTGGTCTCTAATGGATGGGGCAGTTTAGGTGAGTGAAATCCAATTATTGACCCAAAACATCACTGACGATCAGCTCTCTTGTTGTATCCACCACGGCCGTCTCCTTCGACTAGGTACAGAGCTGCCCTCAGCGTCCCGAACCACACGGCGCAAGCACGACAGAACTTACGATCGGAACGTATATCATATCCGCCCCATCTACTACGTTTGTTATATCCGCCTCGCCCGCCAGTCTCGGCTGTACCCACGCAGTTGGATGTCAGTATAGTTTGGTAGGATGCGAGAGAGAAAGGCCATATCAACCTTCGCTACGCTTGTTGTAGCCGCCACGTCCATCCGCCTCAGCTACAGGAAGTCGGCCACCGATTATGTGTGAGTGGAGGGATACGACCCCTAAGGAATTATATATATTACTAACCGTCAGCTCGCTTATTATATCCTCCTCTCCCAGCGTCATCTTCCACTGCATCGAGTAGGGGACCAGGTGAGAGACACATTCCGAGATTTGACACTCAAAGGGCAACGGCCAAAACTCACATTCAGCTCTCTTCATAGCGTCGACAGCGGGTGTAGCCTCTGGGGACCTCACGCGGTTGTACCCGCCCCGGCCATCAGTTTCGACTGTAGTATCATTTCAGTAGGTCACAACGACTCGCATAGCTGGACCCGTAGGACGTACGTTCGCCCCTCTCGGCCTGGACTGGAGCAGGAGTAGCCGCGATGGCAACCGCAAGAGAGATTGCGACAGTAATGGCATTGAATAAATAGAGCTTCATGCTTAGGATTTAAGATAGTAGTGTGTTAAGGGATCAGAAGATGCGATGTGGTGCGATTCGACGGTGCGTCTGTTAGTCTATTCGTCTGCGCAGAACGTACTGACCTTTATACCCTACCAGCTACTGCTCTATCCGTGATCGGATTCGAAACCTTGTGTCTTGAGGAGGTTGTCTTTCTGCGTGTTTGGTGCTCTACGCTAAATTTACATACCGCAGGTCGTCAGGTAGCCTGAGGCCCGAGACGGATCCGATGGTTGCTCTCGTGGACGACGCTGGTGGCGCAAAATTGGGGTAGAGAAACGTATGTCTATTTTACTGGCAAACTGCTGCTCCTAAAAGCCTTCGAGGTTGGCTTGCTAAAGCCTTACTGGATTCAATACATTTGAGATTTTCAATTGATTTTATTCTCTCGCTGCTAGCATCGTCCTTTGCGCATATAACCGTAAGTCGCCGCATTCATACCATCGCTCGCTTCCTGTTTTTATTTGGTTCCTGTTTGCATAGTCCGTTGACGCACTCACGAGCTGTACTGTCTAGGGCGATCTGTTCTTGGCCGACTCCACAAATAAACTCTGTACCTTTCGCTATTCCTGTCATTCTCCCCCTGTTTGATGATAGATACGTGGGCCATCAAAAGTATGGTTTGGGGCGTCAATGCCTTTTAGTGTCGTCTACGGCGGCCGAGTATCTTGGGTCTTCCTCTTCTGTCGGACAGAGCATGACGGTTATGCAGAGCAGTGCGTCACTCTCTTAATATTAAGAAGGCCACTCTGCGTATACTACTTATGAATTATAAGCGTCGACGGTCTACCTGTGTGCGAGCTGCAGTACGGCGGCGATGCTGAGATATAATGATCACTCAGGGCTTGCGCGCCGAGAGAAGGCTAGTGGTTGCGCGGTGTCAATCTCCATGATCGTACCACAGGATCAATGCTTTATCCTGGCGAGAAAACACTTGATGGTGACAATCTGGTTACAGCGACATTCACCTCGATGCGGAAAAACGCGTTTCGAAATTTCGTCTTGCCACAGTCTCGCCACGGCTCTCGGAGCAGATCGGAGCTCACCGCACAGGGACCCCTGTTGCAAAAATCAGCGCCACTTGCAGCATTGCTGTGGCCAGCCGCAACTCAGTGTCATGCAAGTCGTTCCTCTTGCCAGAGTGAATGTGTTATACTTCCGAAAAATTCCCAATTCATCCATACTTATATCTTTGTGGTTCAAGCAATCGCTGAGAGACAGTATCTAGGAGGGAGCATTGTCGGAAGTCAACAATTATATAATATACAACTCTCATCAATGTTTTAGGTATGATCCCTCCTAAATATGAGACTGGTGGCTGCAGACTCTGTAGAGAGATGAGTTACATACTCCATGCACCCAATTTAGTGCATTTTTTCAATCATATTCTCTCGACCTTGTGCATGTGCAAGTGCCGGATCATACCAGGTGGTTCGAGGTCTCAGTTGGTCAGCTCACACGCCTGTGGCGAGCACAGCGCTGTAAGGATCACTCGTCACGTCGAACGAGAGATGATCAGATGTGGCGTCCGGCTCCGCTCCACTCTCCGTAGTCGTCTCACTTCCTCGTTATACAACAACTCCGCGCCCTAACTCAGCTGAGGCGAATGGTTACACATCAGGAAAGGTACCAACAAATACCCCGAATCACGGATCGCTCGTACACGTTTCGACGTTGCAATCTCCATGGGACTGGAATTCTGAAGGTTTGGAAGAATGTCAATCTTGGTAGGTAGTTAGCACGTTTTCACCATCATAGCCGTTGCTCGTACTCACCGCGTTTGTTGTAGCCGCTCCTTCCGTCAGTTTCCACTGCATAAGCCTCGTGCAGAGTTGGCTTCGAAAGAGTGTTTACAGCTGCTTTCACACCTCTAGACAGGGGGCAAGATCTTTCGCCTGCACCAAACAGAAACGAGGATGGACCAAACAAAGCTAGATTTCACTGCGAGCGGATCTCAAATTTCTTTTCTTCTCACTCACGACGCCACACTCTTACGTTGGTCGTGTACGGATGCCCCATTCGGGCAGAGAATGAATGCAGAGGCTGTGTGTTTGGTCCGTCAAAATTGATGTTTGGCACACCGAGAAGATTTCGTACCCTGTCTAGAGTTGTGAAAGCAGCTGTAAACACTCTTTCGACAGTCTTTGAACGGTCCTCGGTCTTGGCAGTCGAAACACTCCTTTGTGAGCCAATCAGGAGCGATGCCGAATGAATACTCTTACTCGGCCATCAGAGTGTTTCGACGCCAAGAGTCGAGAACGCGTACAAGACCTGTCGAAAGAGTGTTTGAACACTCTTTCGATATCAACTCTGAACGAGGCTATAGAACGCTTTCAGTGAGTGAACAGCTGTCAAACTCTCCGGATGGTGAACTAACACTCAGCCCTCTTGTTGTAGCCGCTCCTTCCGTCGGTTTCCACTGTGTGGACGTTCTCAGTGAGTGAAAGATGCGCAAGATATTCGGATGATGAAATCACACTCAGCCTTCTTGTTGTACCCACTCCTGCCGTCGGTCTCCACTGCATGAAGCACAGGTCAGTCATGTCTACGTTGTCCGAAGTACCAACGATGAACTTACATTCGTCCATCTTGTTATAACCACTCCTTCCATCAGTCTCCACTGTTTGAATGAGGATATCTTGATCAACGCTATCTAGAACGTTAATGGTGAACTCACATTCTGCCCTCTTGTTGTAGCCGCTCCTGCCATCGGTCTCCACTGGATACATCAGGTTGGGTAAGCGTGACAAAGATGTGCATTGAGGTTATTTACTGACGGCCCTCTTGTTGTATCCGCTGCGCCCGTCCGTCTCATCTACAAGTGAGCATAACCTTGTCAGTACGTGACGACTCGCACTCAACACGAACGAAATACTCACCCTCGTTGCGCTTGTTGTAGTCGCTACGTCCGTCAGTCTCCACTACCGAAACATAAATGGTCTAGTGGTAAGGAGGTATCACGCTCATAAACAAACTCGAACTTACGCTCAGCACGCATATTGTAGCCGCTTCTCCCGTCGGTCTCCGCTGCAACGAGTCAGAAATAGAATGGGCACATAGGAGAATGTCGAGATACACAGAATGATAATGACACACCTTCGGACCTCTTCACTATATCGATGGCAGCGAGAGCATCGGCACATCGCACGCGGTTATATCCGCTTCTACCGTCAGTTTCAACTAGGTATATTTTAGCAAACGCTGCATTGTGGTATTCAACAGGATCATGAGACGTACGATCGCTCCTTTCAATATTGAGAGGGGTAGGACTGGCAATGGTAGCAGTCGCAAGCCAGAGGGCGGCAGTAACAACGTGTACGAGCGAGAGTTTCATGTCGATATGAAGTAGGATGTATTGATAGTGAATGAGTTCGACGATGTGGGGCTTATGAAACAATAGAGACGATATCCTGTGAGAGGTGTCTCCCACCTGCGCATACCCGACCGTTTTTATACCTTTCGAAATATATCTTTTTCGAGCTGCCCTGTGCTTTCGAGAGTTATTGGTGACCAGATGCGATATCTCTTCGGATTACGACCATACTGCGCACCAGACAAAAGCAACTGGACTCTCCCGGCAGTTCCGAGTGCGATGCTACGGCACTTCTGTGCTTAGTGTAATACTGGCCAGAACGCACTCTGAAATGATTGTCACGAGATTTTTATCTCTGTACGAACATCGCAGCATCAGACTGAATGAAGCGATCTGGTATCCGTAGGCCGCACACGACATAAATGCATTTATTTACTTATACCACTCCTAGTGGTCTCGAAGTATTCCAGAATTATATTTCTGGCCAAGTTTTTGTGGCGCACTCACTTTCGAGATTGGCACCATGTGAGTTTACCATCTGATCTCTGTTTGATAACCTACGGTTCCTGTTTCAACGTAAGGTCTCGTTCATGTCTGGTCTGCTGCTTAATTCTACCATGGTGTGCGGTCTCAGAATGAAATCCCTATACCTCGACCGCGGCATCCGTGTAAGTTTGTGACATTTGACCCTCATGAAGCACCCACGAGTGGTCTCGTAGCCCGCATACGCGGGACACTCTGGTGTGCACCATAGATACCATTAGAATTTAGACGAAGCGCACAGGTTCTGCGCTGATAGCAGAAGTCGCCTCATGGTACCTCGCATCCTTTGTCCTTTACCTCAATAACGAGAGATAGCGAACCTAGCTTTTGCTGCTAAGCACTATATACATACTTCGATATTCACGTGACTTTGAACCCGGTAAGCGCGGTGAAACTTGTCATTACGCTGTGATATGTCGCTGCGCGGCACAATATTTCGTGAAGGTGCCGTTCCTGTATACCAACTCTCTTTAGCTTCACGAACCTTGCCACTCCGCCTTTTCTCCATTACCTGAAGTCATATAAATCAGTGGAAGTCTTGTCTCTTGGAGGGCGTAGGAAGTCGTTCTCGATATACGGACGGCTCGTACCTGCAAACCTGCTATATAGAGGCAGGGAACAGTGATGCAACTGATCCGATGTGTCTTGGCGTAGGTTAGTTATCACACCAGACTTCGCTTGTACATCTCGATAACACGATGTTATGACTGCGCGTTCGCAAAAGGAAAAGGTGACTTTCGTCAAAGAAACGGTGTTCATTTCGAGAAAACGTTGAAGATATAATCGGCAGTTTCCACGCCACCCACACACCACTTCGGATGTTGCGCTCATGAGTTGACAAAGTCCTTATGCTAAGTATAGACTTTACCGTAACGTCTTCCACTAGGCATTGGAAAAAAGCTGTATATATCAGATAGGCTAACCTCATCGCGGTTGGCTCTTGTCCTTGTCGGGAGCAAGTGGCGAATTGGTGATTCGATGGAGTTTTTTCGTTAGTGGACAGGCGAAGGCTGTGGAGGGGATTAAAAAGGTGGCGGTTCAGTGCTTTCAAAATGCAGACATCAGCTTCAGTGCGGACACATCATGATCAACTTCATTAAAGTCATAAAATTAGCATAATTGGTTCGTACGGAACATGTAAATATTTAAGGAGTGTCGACAGTAGCTTCCATTATCATTTTCATTGCGAGTTCGTCCCTCGGTTGTACTGCACATGGGAATGGCATGGGGTGGCTGAACATACATCAGCCCAGCTATCAAGGAAGGGAACAATGGAAGCCACACTGACCTGACGTCGTCACCGACGTACTTCGGATCCACCGGGATATCGTCTCCGTTCTCGTCCTTTGCGTGTACGATGTTATATACGGATAGGATAGATGCGACGAAGAACCAGATCGATGCGCCCGCGAGATATCGTCCTGGGCAGACTCTGGATAACGATTTGTTGGATCAGACTTCAGCAAGTGCCGGAGTATGATACTACGCGCTCATACGTACCGTCTTCCGAATCCGAAGGCATATGGAACGTCGTCATCCGAGAGTGTTCCATTTTCAGTGATAAAACGCTCAGGCATGAACCTTTCGGGATCCGGGTAGGTCTCTGGGTCGTGAAGAATGGCCCTAAGAGCAGACGGTAAGCTGGGTTGAAAATGATCGCATTGAACCAACATCATACGCACCAAACGTTGCCCACGACAGTCGAGCCTGCAAGACAAAATGGAAGGGAATATTAGGAACGATACAGGGAACGAAACTACAAAAGATGAATGATACGCTACCTTTCGGGATGAAGTAACCATCGTACACATCGTCTCGTACACTCGCATGAGCGATTGCCATCGGCAGGATTACATTCCATCTCAACACCTCCCGGCAGATTGCATCGATGAAAGGGAGCCGTGGGCGATCGGAGAAATCCGGAAGACGATCCCGTCCAACCACCTCGTCGATCTCGCGTTGGGCCCGCGCCTGGACGTGCGGATGGAGTAGAAGTGCTAGAATAGCGCTGGTGAGCGCTGACATGGACTACATAAGAAAACGATGATAAGGAGTAGTCGTTAGTCGGTGAGTGGGGGGAAACATCCATTAACGACGAACTGTATCAGCTGCAGCTGGAAGAGGAAGACGACGGGACGTAAGTCCGAGGGTCAGATAGACGAACAATGATGATAACGAACCGACATGCACGTTAGCAGTGAAGCTACGGATGAGCTTTTCATCCTCGGTGATGGCTCCATGATCCGTTTTCCGTTGTAGAAGTGAATTTAACAAAGAGGGTGAAGCAGGACGTGATGTCTTCCGCAATCATTCGTGTTAGTTTGATGACTCTAGACAGCACAGCGGACATCTCACCATGGCGGTTGTAATCGTACTAAAAGGTCCTTTCAGCAGCATGTCGGTAAGAACCTTCGATTTTTCGGCGTATGTCTTGAACCCATTCACTACTGGGAACCACTTCGGGAAGTGTTTCACTAGGACAATTGTGATACTCAGGGGCTTGGACTAGAATGAGTGTATTGGAACGGAGACGTACAGAAAGGGAAGACATTCAATAACACGGAGCCCGGAAACAGGACGCTCCCAAGCATGATGACGGCCTGCTCTTCAGTCTGCATATATTTCTCGGCATCGGTATCGATATCGTGTCCATAAGCGAGTTTGATTGGATAGGTAGCTCCATAGCTATCGATAAGAAAGACAATCAGGCAAAGAAAACAAGAGCAGAACCAGGGCAGATACGACTCACTGCTTGGTCAAGTGAAACACGTCATTCGGATGTTTCAAAAAGTCCTTCAAGAGACCCCTAACGAGAGACTGTTGAACGGGGTAATAACGATGGATGCTTCCCCATCGGAAATGAGTCTGGAAGAGCCGGCGATGATCCCGCCAATAGTCTGAGTAATGCATGAATCCGACACTCCAATCCCATCCCATCCTGACCGTAAGTGGAATCAGCGAAGGGACGAGAATGCAGCGAAGAAGGCGGTGTGTACATACAGGAATAACATCTCGAAATGTGGGCGGTCGGAATAGATGGAAGAGCGCTGCTCGAAAATGGCCTTGACGGCCTTCGCGGAGTTGACGACGACTGTCCGGGAACCTAGAACAGAGAACGAAACGACGTCGCCTGATGGCGTACCGTAGAGCAGTGTCAAACAACAGTCTTCCAGGAAGAATGACTATCAAAGACGTACTGTGGTATTTTCGAGACCATCGTGCATATTCGATGTGTTTGGGGCCTTTCGGTACATATAAGAGATTTTTAATGCCGAGCCACGTAGGTGGACCAGGGGGATAGGATAGACGATATTGCTTGTTGCGACGGCGGACGGAATGGGCAATTACCAAGGCAAAGGTCACAAGAAGCACGCTCAGAGCTGGTAACAGGCAGCTGTGGTTGGAGTGGCGCATTGCCAAAGGCATCCTGGATGACAGACGAGGGTAGCGGACGTTGCAGAGTTCGCGGAACTCAGCAGCGGCTCTTATGTATCGTGTTCTGCATCGGCTACCGTAGATCTCGGGACACTTCCCCTGGAGCCGTAGGTTACATTGAGGGGTACTAACTGAAACGATCGCCGAGCAGGTTTACATACCGGTTCCATAGGCTGCGCTCACTGAGCGCCCATGCAGTTATAGACTACGGTCTGCGGCACAGAGAACAAGCCTCAGCCTGCTTGAATACCATGATCGTGGCTTCGATGAGAATAGTTTTAGCCAAGAAAACACAGGCTTCAGACGAGTCTGACTCAGTATTGAAGGGCCTCAGAAGTTAAGGCCCTGTGCAGCAACGTGTAAACGCACCATTTGCATGTGTTGTGCGCGCAGGGTTGTTCAGTCGAACGAAGTGTGCATCGCCATTTCATCTCGACGGTATGTATGAGTGGAAGAGATGTTACAGGCGGAAACAGGTTTCCACGGCGAATAGGACGTCACTGACAACCCTCGAGGCATCAGCTATGCGATGCACAATGCTGTTCGTTGGCAGTCGGAAGTCGACTCGCTCCTGGAAGGAGACTGAACGAAAGTTCACAAGGCAGACGGACAAGTACATTGGACATAGATCTCGTCCCTGTAACTCACGCATTTTCGAAACTGACGTACCTGACGACAGCAACGGTCCCGAGCCGTTTTCACTAGAATGTCGTCCCCATTCTTCTTCGATGTCCGTCGTCTTCACGACCTGAGCTTACGCAATGCCGAGCCCACTGGGATTTTACACATAGCTGTCATCTCGAGGAATGTTGACCGATGAACGAGTTCCGACAGAAGCTTTGAGTGTAGCCGCTGCACAGGCAGGTGAGATCGATGGAGGCCAAGGTCCTACTCAAAGTGCTTATTAACATGTCCATTTGGATCTGCCGGCGCGAGGGACAATAGGCCATAGCGAAGAATGAAGTATGCTAAAGGATTGGGAAGGAAGGAAGGAAGGAAGGTGAAGGAAGGGAGACGCGAGCATAAGAGGAGACGATCCGAGAGGTCCACGTCGCAGTCGTGAGAAGGAAAAGAAAAAGAAAATTCACGCGACTGTTGCGTGGCTTGCACATGGCACGCGGACCCACGCGCCGTCCTCCTGGGCCTTTGTCAGTGCCACTAAGTTGTGTCGCCCGTTCCGTTGAACACCTTCATTTCATTATAAGTACCTCACTGCCCTCCTCGACCTCCTTGTCTGCTTACAGCGACGAGAGACATTGGGTATGGTTGCGCAACACCCACACAAGGCGGAAGCGACCATCTACTTAGTGTGCTTTGCCAGTCGCGTGTGAGTTCATCTCCCAGTGCGCCCCTCAGCCTGATAACTTCAAGAGGCTTAGCAATATATGTACAGAAGTACGTGGATATTTGCAATGTTGCACCATGTTGGAATTTCTCTGTGTGTGGTTGAACACGACGGCTTGAGGCTTGAATGATGGAGGGGGCCGTCTTCGGCATGCGTGTGCGAAGGTAAATCTCAATACACAAAGCTTATCGCATACATGTCCTTACCTTCAATCCTTATCCTTAAGTCATATTCACGACGTAGTTTCATCCATGGACACAAGCTGGAAGCCCGTTCAATACATCAAGAGGGATATCTTGACGTTGATGCTCGACTTCACCTTGTTCGTCGTTACTTTTCTTCCCCTTTCATTACTACTTATACGTGTCCTCTCTTCGCTCTTAGCGGCTCCAGGTAACACTCGGAGCAACGATATACAGGCTGTAGAATGCCTTACTTGTCTCTCGACTCGCGAGGGTTCCAATCTCAAGAGATCTACTAGTGATAGTGCTGGTGGCCCAGCCAGGGGCGAGTGGTGAGGAGTGATGACATATAGTTGGTTTCCCGCGTCCTCTACGAGCGACAAGAGTGAATACGGGTGCGGCTTTGGTAATGTGAGCCCGTCCACTCACCTTCACATCCAATATTCAACCTTCGCAAGTGGGTGCATTGGCGAAGTCACACATAACTGGACAACTTTGCGGATGCTGGATACGTACACGAAGGAGTTCTGCGTGCACATACAACTAGGTCCAGGGAGTATCGAACAAAAGTGTTAGCCGAAACATTTCGCGAGCGAGATATACTTTTGGTGTAGGCTTGTAATAAACATGAATTTTACGCGATGTTTATGTGGGATTTTTCGATCGATATTGGCGCTACCTGCAGATCTTCCAAAAGGGCTTAGCCCTGGTGACGTACTCCTGACGGGGAGTATTCGTTTATATTTGACCGTGATGAGCGCCAATGTAGAGCGGATGAGGACAGCTCGGCCTCGTATTCACCATGCAAAATGGAAGCGCAAGAGCCTTCAAGTAAAGCGATGTCCGCACTGACCTTGCATGTTCGTGGGGTGAGAAGGTAAAACATGAACATGCACTGCGCGGCTCGCTGAGGCGATCCATGCACGAAATCACCTCCTCGAATAATACTACTGTCCTTACTACGACCATCACACTTGCTAGAGCACTTTTCGACAGTACAGGGAAAAAATATGTCTGTATTTTGTTTTTATCCGATCAAGAGTTGAAGTAGGGACAGTTTGCATCGGCTCTTTTCGCTCTCGGTGAAGCGGTAGAAAGCCGCAAATCGGGGTGGTGTCGAGCTTGTAACAGATAAAACGGATAGCGTTTGGTGTAATTTGGTAGGACACATGCGCGCCGCATGGTCTACATGTAGCACATTCTTAGTTTCAGGGCTAAACGAGGAGCATAGAGTTAAACTACGAGATGAATATGGTCAGCTCTGAGTCTGAGCTAGTCAAAACCATGGTAGACCTACTGGACTTTTGGACATCCTATTCTCCGGGTTGAAGCCCCTCTTCACACAACGGACTCGTTCGCATGTAATGCTCTTATCAACTCCACTGCTTTCTCATCCCGTGGACGTACAGTGCATTCGAACGGCATTGGATGGCTAGCAAACATATCAGAGATTCAGTCCAGTCAAGTATCAAACATAAAAACTGAATAAACCCTACGCACCTAATACCGCTGTCTACCCATTCTGTCGTCACTTCGACTTCGTTTCCCTTCACGTCCTTCGACTTGATAATGTCAAATACAGATAAAATCGAAGCGATACTTAACCATAAGGTGGTGTTCGCAAGGTATCGACCCGGGCATATCCTGTTTAGCGGCTGGATGAGATAGACTCCTCCGATAGCCGTTGAGAGGTGACAGGTCTGTATTGGACTCGCCTTCTACCGTATCCAAATGACGCCAGTACCTCGTCTTCGTTGAGTGTACCTTCAGCATTCATGAATCTCTCTGGGTTGAAGCGCTCAGGCTCCGGGTAGAAATCTGGGTCATGGAGTATAGCCCTACAAAAACGAGGGTCAAAACGTCTTGGACAGAAGATGAATAACATATCAGGGATGACGCGAGTATTTCGGACGCACCAAGCATTTCCGACGACGGTCGAACCTAGATTGAGAAAGTAAAAGTAAGTATTTGCACGAAAGTCAAAAATAATTATTCCCGTATCAGATAGAACGTATACCTTTGGGGATGAAATACCCTGCGTACACGTCGTCCTTCGTGGAAGCGTGACTAACAGCTAACGGGGTGACTGGTCTCCAGCGCATAACCTCCCTGCAGATTGCGGAAACGTACGGCAGGTTGTCCTTGTCCGAGAAATCTGGGAGCCTTTCTCTACCAACAACGAGATCGATCTCAGTTTGGGCACGCGTTTGGACTTCGGGATGGCGAACAAGAGCGACGGCGGCACCGGTGAGAGTCGCCATGGACTGAGTTGCATTGATATCAGTTGCGTATTTCGTGTACAAAAATGATATGAACGAATACTCACTGTATCTGCCGCCGCTGTATATCACAAGATACCTTGATCAGACCACTCGACAACGTATACTGACATCAAGACGTACCAATATGGATTGTCGCAAAGGTCCGCTTGATCACGTACTCGCCGAGATCCCCTTGGCTATTCTTGTGTAGAACCTTTGCGAGAAGCGAGCAAGGAGGAGACCCAGTGGCCTGTTTCAGTGATAGATGGGTTAGTAGCAGTCATAAGTATAGGCAAAAAGAATATGAAGAACGAACCATTTCTCTCTTCGTCTTATCGAAGAGTTCGTTTCTAATGGCGTCGTTGAGACTATTACAGTGCCTGGCGTAGTGTTTAAACGCGGAGATACCGGGGACCCATTCCGGCAAGCGACTCACTGCAAGATAGAAAATATAAGTGTATGTCATTGTTGACGAAAGTATTCTCTATGCGACAGACAAATAACTCACAGCATGGAAAAGAATTCACGAGGAATTTGCCTGGAATCATAATCTGAGCGAGTACAGTCATTGCCTCCTCGACTTTGTGGATGAGAGGATCTCCGGTGGCGTCCACCTCATGATCGTAGGCAAGCTTCAGAGGAAGTGATCCAGCGTGACTACATCGAAATAAAAAGAATTATGAAACTCAGCATTACATGCATATGGTCTAGATACAGACTGCTTTAGGTGCTCGACAGCATTATTCGGTTCTTCGAGGAGATCGTGCAGGAGGCGTTTGCTTCGAGATATTAAGAGAGAATGATAGTTCCCTATTGCTTCCGGTCGGAAATGTTGATGGATGACACGACGATGAGCGCGCCAGGCATTGGAGTAGGGCATGAATCCGAAGTTGTAATCCCAGCCAGTGCTGAAGAGGAATGACGTTGAGTATTGAGAAGAATCAGAGGATCGAAGTAGTGAAACGTACAGATACATCATCTCGTTGTGGGGCCTGTCGGAGTAAATAGACGATCTTTGTTCTAATAACGCTTTTACTGCTTTAGCTGAGTTGAGAACCACTGTGTGCGAGCCTGCGACATGGTAAGAGACGATATCGCCTAGAACATTATGACCAAGGAAATCAAAAGACCACATCACGTTGAGGACATTATGGGCTTGGCCTACTGTTGTATTTTCGTGACCATTGTGCAAAGGCAAGATACGCACTTTCCTTGGGGACATCGAATATATTCCCAAAGATAGGGCGAGGTTTTGGGCCTGGAGGATATGGAGTGCTAGAGGACGGGCGGGGAGAGCGAAGGAATTTGTGTAGCCCAAGGAAGATAAAGAAAAAAAGGATGATGAGGAGAATGTCATTTTCGATATCTGCCATAGCCATGGCCGTATGCATCTCGGGGATATAGCGTTCTGTTTCTGGGATGGTGCTGTATCGTTGCAGATGGCTGTAGCTCTGAGAGAATGTAGCGGGACTTAGGAAAGTTTAGGAAGATACTGGTCCCATACCTCGTATGTACATACTCGAATGCGGACCGCTCCAAATGACTATGTCATACCGAGAGATTATCGCATTTTCTTGGGATGCAGCGGCGATTAAGAAGCATTGCCCATCAGATGATTATCCGAGTGTGAAAGAACCTTAGGGGCCAATCCCGAAGGGTGCAATACGAGAATTAGAGACTCGAACCGCCCAATAACAAACGACGTATGTATAATAGCTGCACCAGTCATTCCCTTGGTACACTGAATCGTATACCATAAGCCGCGGACATTGAAGCAGGTGGCGGAATGGTCCAAGAGAAGATATGTTGTCGAATCGCTCGAAGCCTTACAACGTCTTCAACGTCGACTTCTATCTATATTTGTGGCAAATACACGGTCGGTGTTCCTTTTCATTCTCTTGTTCAGGATAAAGACGCATGGAAGCAAAACTTCGAACTATATACGCGACCATCAGTGCCTTTTCCCGTGTGATGGCCGTGTTGATCTTGTGTGCGCTTCGCCTTTTGGTCCATTTTGCTTGTGTGGCCACACGCAACGGCTATTATGGTAGGGTTTATTTAAGAGCTCATGTTTGTGGAGTGAGATCTCGTTCATGGAGCATCGTGCGTCATCTAGAAGCAGCAAAATAATGAACCTTGAAACCAGAACTCACAGCACCGTCCCTTAGACCACGTCTTATAGCTCGCCACGTTGTACCTGTACCACTACAGCCTCCTACTGATCAGCGTCAGCAGTCCACCGAGGCGTATGAAGTGGCTCGTATATGTGGGAGTGACGTACGAAGGCGCCGGGCCCCATGCTGTTGTGTTTGGGGTCTGAGTACTATAAGTATGAGCAGTTTTGGCGCAGGGATCGTGGAAGCAAATGAAGATGGTGGGAGCACCAGAGACGACAAGAACGGTGGCGAGGGTCATTCTTGGGGTAATGCCAGCGCAAATATACTGAAAGGGTATTCTATTTGTGTTGTATTCGACGAGAGTGGTGATTTCCGTGTCCTGTACGCCCCGCTATTGCTTCAGTGCGCGTTTTGGACAGAATATAAACACTACATGAGGACATGCAGCGGCACGCACAATGCGCATCTTGGGCAGACTGGATATTTTTATGGCATCCGTATCAGTCCGCTTGTGCTAGGTAATATCCGGGAGCACCTGGGGCGCATAAATCGCAAATGTACACTGTTTTGCGAAGTGAGCATAGGATGGCACTTGAAAAAAAGAAGTGGTTGATGAGCAGCGAATGGAATTCTCTATGCTAGTTGAGCCCAATTGGAATCGGAGTGAGCATTGGCGGAAGGAATGCGCATTTTTGTGCAACGTAACAAATCATACTCTGAATGGTCTATAGTGGTGCTTGGCAGAGAACTCTGTTGAATAATGAATGCCATTTGCAGACATCGGCCTCTCACACATTGCCTACCTTTTGCTCCGGACGTCGATATTTCAGATGGTGCAATATTGTTGATCTAGAACACTGGAGATTTTCTTTCCCGAGTATCGCGCTCAGTAAAGGACATCAATATCTCATATCATGGCATGTAAAGGTATCTTTCGGAAGGACGTGTTTGTGCTGATCACAAAGCCGTCGGTGTCTCACCGAGCAAATAAAGCAGGAGAATCCGAATTGGCTTATCCAGAATCTCACAGCGTTTTAACTCTTCCGTTGCTAGTTTCTATATCAGTCATGTTCAGCACTTGATTTGAGTTCAGCTACTCACACTAGTAGTCTCTTTTTGAACTTTGTACGGATTCAATCGTACTATCCCTGATCATCCGACCTAATCAACACTTCCGCCTCTGCATCCCTTGGATACATCGAGCATCTGAATGGCAATGGATGACTGGAAACAAGTCAACAACATTTGAGTGAGATATTAACATAGTTCATGCCATACCTGACGAAACTATCGACATATTCCGGCGTGACGTCTAAGTTTTTCCCTTTTGGATCTCTTGCAGGTACAACGTTGAGCACAGCAAGGATGGAGGCTATGGTAATCCACAAGGAGTCATTGGCAAAGTGTCGCCCAGGGCATAGTCTAAAGTTAAAATGGTATGATAAGGGAAGGTAGTATTCTGGGCTTTGATTTATTCACTCGGGAATAGAAATGCATACCTTCTCCCGAACCCGAAAGAGTATAAAACATCGTCTTCTGAAAGCATACCTTCGCTTGTGATAAAACGGTCCGGATTGAAGCTATCGGGATCGGGATAAATCTCGGGGTCGTGAAGAATGGCCCTAAAAAGCACCGTAAGCTATTGTAAGATTTTGAGCCACAGAAATACAGAGATACAGACCACGCGTTCCCAATAACAGTCGAGCCTTTGTTATGTCAAAGAAGCCCATGAAAGTTGAGAGATTAGCAATATATAGAGAGAACAAGAGGGAATTACCCTTTGGAATAAAGTAGCCGCCGTAAACATCATCTTCCGTTGACGCATGGTAGACACCAAGTGGAAGAACCAACTTCCATCGCATGATCTCCCTGCATATGGCTGTGATATAAGGCAGCTGGTCCCTATCAGAAAAACTAGGGAGACGTCGCCTGCCAACCACGATGTCAATTTGCTCTTGACCTCGAGATTGCACGGATGGATTAAGAAGCAAAGCCAGTATACCAGTAGTCGCTGCAGACATAGACTACATGTATCGCAGAAGGTTAGCGCCATGAAATAAATGCCAATGAGCAAATCGATTTTACAGTGTCTGAAGCGCCTGTTGTGTTGGAACATACATGTTGAGAACACCATTATATTCGTGGTAAAGATCAATAACTTCGCACCGATATGTACTGTCGCCATAGATCTTCGAATCACATATTCCCCCAACTCGCCTCCCCCGTCACGAGAGTTTCGTCGAAGTATTTTGGCAAGTAATGAGGGGTGCTTCTCTGTTGGATTCTTGGCCTTATTGGATATCAAAATATCAGACGCAACCAATGATCCTTCAGTGACACGTTCTCACCATTTTTTCTTTGATTTCGTTGAATGGCCCGCCCTGAATCTCGTCTGTCAGTACCTTGCACTCTCTCGCTTCACGTTTGAAGCTGCTGATACCGGGGACCACCTCAGGGAATCGATTTACTATGAATTTTCCTCTTAATCAGCATGATTAATTTTGCATTGAAAGTAATTGTGAAAGAAAATGGTGGTCATAGAGCAAGGCAAATGACTCACACAGGGGGAAAGAGTTCACCAGACGAGCGCCAGGATAAAGTACACCAGCGAGCATTGCGACGGCCTTCTCCACACGTGCAATCAGCGGATGGTTTTTGTTCATCACGTCAAGATCGTATGCAAGCTTCAGTGGTAAGGAGCCCGCATAACTAGAATCGAACGGATAAATACCAGTGTCATCGCATTAGAAAACCGACTCCCTCCAACAGAAAGAAAGAGAAAATGTGACTTACTCTCGCAGCTGATCATATGGTTCCCCAGGCTGATCAAGGAGGGTCTTCAGGACCGTCCTGACTCGAGTGGACAGCAATGGGTGATATTCAGTAACGGCATCTGGACGGAAGTGCTGATGTATAATACGACGATGAGCTCGCCAGGAATCGGAGGAGTGCAAATAATGTTACTTGTGCGGCACTTGTGGCGCACTTTTTCCCCCGCCAAATGAAGGCCGGCTAACTCCGAGAACGTGTCACACGCTTGAACAAAGGCGCATGGTTCCCGTGTAAGTTTCTCCTGGCACGACGTTGCGCTCCTCAACCCTTCCTGGTTATATTCATGGATTTACAGCACACGCATCCTGTAAAATGCTTTGTACAACCCCGCTCTCTTCATAGTTACTACGTTGGCCTGTGTTTCCGTCTCTCGGAGTTGGCGAACTCATCAAGCCAGGCTCTCGGTTCCTTGCCTGCGGTTCTGAGTTTGTACCACATGTTTTTTGTTACACTCTGGTGTGCTTGAGTCTAGTAATCATCTTTCTCTTGGTTGCTTGACGCTGTCATACCACCCTTTGGGTTTTTGTTATGGCAAAGCCTCGTCACTTGCCTCAGGAGCTTGCTGGACTGCTCTCGGAGGTCTTTTGATTGGTCCCGCTGTCTCGTTCCAATTTGAATTCCGGTATCCTCATCGTTCGAATATAGCATTCCTATCTGCCTGTTTGGACGCGAATGTGATGCACCGGCGGAGGTGCATCAAGTTCATCTCTCCTACGGATCGGACGCCTCAGTCACTAACGATAAGTGAGTTTCCCTCGTGACCATTGGACTTGCTCAGCGATGACGTAGTGTTTCTGCAGCAACGTCTACTTTTCTGCCGTTCCTGCAGAAACACTACGTATACGTCATCGCCACCGGTCTTCACGTCGACTTCGCCTCCATCCAACCTCCATCTGGCTGTTTGACTCTGTCTTCCACGACTTTAGCGATGTTTAATACTGCGCTAGACTCTCAGTAGC